AGCCTCCCACACACCCCTTCCCCTCCCCAGACTCTAGGGCTCATATTCACCCAGTCTGCGGATACTGGGGTTCTGCTGCCCAAATCCCAGGAGCAGGACACAGGCCGGCTCTCCTGGAGTTGGGGCCTCCGTTGGCGCCATCAGCCACCCTGGCCCCCTGGAGCAGGGTGACACAGAGAGGTGTGCCCGGGGTGGGATGGGGATGGTGGTTGCATGAGGGGGTGTCAGGGAAAGAGGAGGTCACTGAGCCTGGGGACCACACCAAAGTCCTCCGTCAGGAGGCCCTGCCCCCACCTAAGCTTGCCCATCCTTCCCCATGAGCGAGAGGCCCTGAGGCCTCCGTTCTCCTCTGCATGGCTATCAGGGTGGGGGTAAATGCCCTGGGGAACATCCTTTCGTCACTGGGGGGCTTACTTGTTCGTGAAAGCCTTGTTTTATACAAATTAAAATTGTGACATTGGCCAATGACTATGGTGTAAACACTGCCTCCATGGCCAATTGCAAGCTAACTTCCTGTGCCTCTGAACTCGGAGCTGGGGACAGGTGCTCGCAGCCATCGGCACTCACCTGCCGGTGCCAGTGGCTGCAGCCCACCAGTGGCTGTGGGTGTGGAGGCCCAAGGGCACTCCTGTGAGAGGCCCGCCCGATCGGGAGAGCAGCCAGCAGAGTGGGACGAGGGGCAGCGGCCTCCGGCCGTCCTGAGACGTAACAGCTCAGGTGTGGACGGATGATCACCAGAAAGGCCTGGGTTTGAACTCTGGGCCCACCTCTGACCCAAAGTCCTGGAACCCCTTCAGGTGCTGCCCACCGGCCACACCCCCAATCCCAGGTCCTGCGAGCCTGGCTCCTTCCCGCCTCCTGATGCCTCTCTCAGCTCCTGGGAGGTGCTGGGCAGGTCCCTACATCCGGGCCTTTGCCTGTGCTGACCCCTCCACCCAATGCCGTTCCCCCATTCACCTTCTGAGCCTCGGCAGAACCTTCTGAGCCTCGGCAGAACCTTCTCTGCCTCAGAGGGGCCTTCCCTGACTGCCCCACCCCCTCCTCCACCCATCAAATTAGCGTCCCCCACGATGGATGCTCTAACGTAGGGGTGTCGAACTCAGTCAGAGAAGGGGCCAAAATCTAAAATCCAGCCTAAATCGCGGGCCGAATGGTTTACTGAACAGTCATAAACTGTCATTGTGATGGAAACGCAGCGGAGTGCAGTGATGGCAGCGCGGTGCGGGCCACATTGCAAGGCCTGGCGGGACGGATTTGGCCCGCGGGCCTTGTGTTGGACACATGTGCTCTAACGGATCTGCAGTCCTGGTGGGATGCTCTGCATAGCGCCGCTCCCCCACTAGCCTCGAGGCCACAGGAAGGCAGGGCCCTGTGGGCGTCTTGCCGCTGCTTGGTCCTTGTGTGGAGCCTATGACAGGTGGTCAGTCCTGCCCCATCCCCCGCCCCACAATCCCGGTGTTCCCCGGCCCCCCAGCCTCCCGGCCGGCCGGGCCTGCCGGCCAGGGGCGCCCAGCCATGCGGCCTTGGCCGCTGCTCCCTCCTGACTCGTGTCATGGAAATCCCTTCTTCCTCTCTGGCTCCCGGGCCGCTCTCCCCGCGCGGCCCCTCCCATGAGGTCCTGGCCATCTGTTTCTGGTCGTGTGGCGCGGCCGCCTAGTCTTCCCTGCCTCCCCATGCACACGTGGCAGCATGTGGCTACTGGGAGGAGCCCGCGGGGGGAGGAGGGAGGGAGGGAGCGGGCGGGAGGAGGGCTCACCCCGACCCGCTACGTGCCGCCCCCAAGAAGGCACCGGACACCCCGCTCTGGACAAAAGCGAGACTTGGGGGACAGGGGGGGAAGGGGGGCAGGTGACACGCCCAGGGCACACTCACGGGGAATCGTGTCTGTTCGGCGCCAGGCGCTGTCTGAAGAAAACGTGGGCCCGGACGCCTGGGCCGGCTCCAGAGCCCACACACTGAAACCTGAGCTTCTCTGAAAACGTCCAAGCCTTTGCTTCCTAGTTTCCAGGACCATCAGCAGTAATTTCACGTTTTCTGCCGCATGGTTAGTCCACAGGTCTAATTTGGGGCTCTAAGAATACCGTCCCGGATGTAGCCTCCGGTGCCCCCAAAGACTTCAGGGGGGCACAGGAGCACCCCTTTTAAGTCTGAGGCAGCACAGAGGAGAGTGAGGGGTCTGGAGCAGCCGGCCTGACATATTACCCAGCACCTTCCCCTCCCGCCCATCCCAGTCCACCCCCTTCCCCAGGCCTGCCCCCCGGTGGGAGCAGCAACGCCTGGCAGACCCTTTGCCGGAGCGGGACCCGCCTGTCCCTCTTCCCGCCCCTCCGCTAGGAAGTCTGGGGCCTCCTTAAAGTCCAGTGGGGGCACAGCCCTCTCCCCTGATGACTGTCACACTTCACTCCATCTCCAGGCCATGCTCCGTGTCCTCCCCCAGACCACGGCGCAGCCCCTAACTGCCTCCAGCCACTACCACCACCACCCGCTCCCTGTAATCCATGCTCCACCCGGGACTGCCTCTGAAGCCACTCTAACCAGAGATTGCACCGCTCAGATCCCTCCAGCTGCTCCCCAGCACCTGCGTCAAGTCCAGACGCAGCCTGACATGTAAGGCCTTTCCCACCTTGGCCCCAACCTGTCCGGTCTCAAATCCCATCTCCTCCCCATCCTCCTTCCCAAACATTCCTCTAGCATGTGGTCCAGAACGTAGACTGTCCCCCCTCAGTCACTCATCCCACTGTTTCCTTCCCCTGTAACAGGTGCCTTTCAAACCCTCATTCATCCTCCAAGGCAAAAACCCCCCTTTTTTAATATATTTCACTGATTTTTTTACAGAGAGGAAAGGAGAGGAATAGAGAGTTAGAAACATCGATGAGAGAGAATCATCAATCAGCTGCCTCTTGCATACCTCCCACTGGGGATGTGCCTGCAACCAAGGTACATGCCCCTGACCGGAATCGAACCTGGGACCTTTCAGTCGGCAGGCCAACGCTCTATCCACTGAGCCAAACCGGTTTCGGCTCCAAGGGCCTTCTTAAAGGTCCCCTCCCACTAAGCAGCTTTCCTTGGTTAATGGCTTCAGAATTCCCCTCTTCCCCGTATCCCGTGTGGCAGAGGAGGGGGCTCCCGGGTGGATCTTCTTCCCAGGATTCCAGACACACCCTCCCACGCCCATGGGATGGTCCAGCCCACCCGGGACCAGGCTCTGCCCGTTTCCACGCAGGTAACTGTCTGGCCACTCTTGCCCCCTCCATACTTTCCGCCTTTGCCCCAGGCCATCCAGCCCAGCCCTGGCAAAGCCCGGTGAGGGGAGGAGTGCAGGGCGCTGGCCAGGGCGTCCGGCCTCTCCGGGCCCCAGCGGTGGCCTCGTCTGTGGCAGCGGATTTGGATGGGTGCTCTTTGGCCCCGTGGAAGTCTGGGGGGTGTTTGAGGCTATCTTCATGACCGTCTTTTCAGAACCCCAAATTAGGAGCCTGTGGACTAACAACGGGGAGACAAGATGAGGTCCCGGACTCCCACTCTCCTCCCGGCCCTCCTCAGCCTTCCTCCTTGTGGCCTAACATTCCAGGGGGAAATGTCATTTTGCGTCACCGAAGGGATGGCGCCGGGGCGGGGATGTGGTTGTGTGGGCAGTCCGCCAGCTGTGGGAGTCAGCGGGACTCAGCAGCGCAGCACTCCCAGGGGGCCAGGTCCCCAAGGGCCAGGCAGCGGGTCCGGGGCCTCCAGTTTCCCAGGCTCTCGCCCAGTCCCCTCCAAGCCTTGCCTACTGGGGAGTCGCCAGCTCTAGGGGCTCTGACCACCCATCGGGGCCCTGCCCCCAGGCCAGGAGCTGGGTCCCGTGGGGGAACCCGGCCCAGACAGCCCAGCGGCCGCCCCTGACCCGGGGATGGAGGTGGTGCTTGCAGTGGGTCAGGTGACACCCCGTCTCGGAGCCCTGACCTGCGCGGCTCCATCAGACTGCGCGGCCTGGAAATGCCAGGGCCTTTGGCCTTCATGTGCACCAGACATGTGTCAGCTCCTCTGCTCAGCAAGGTGTTTCCAAAGCTTTGCTGCCTCGGCCATCGGCAAACCACCAGCCGCCTGCGGCCATGGGCGAGGGCCCCAGGACAGGAGCCAGGTGCGGGATAGGCCGAGGATACACACCAGCCTGGGCCCAGAGCACGCCTGGGACGGCTCCCCTCCCGGGGCCACAGTCATCGGTGACGGGATGCCTCCTCAGTGGCCGGAGGGTGGGGTGTTGATGTGGAGGGTGGTGGGGAGGGGGCTCCAAGAAACAGACTCCTGTCTGCTCCGACGGGGCCGGCCGCCGGGCTCTGCTGAGTCCTCGGCAGTTTGGTGGCTCATCCTTTCCAGAATGTTCTCCCGCATGCTGCCCAGAAAGCCGTCCAACACAGCGACAGCCACCCACGCAGTGCAGGTGCCCCGCTGCACTCGGCAAGGGGAATGCACGGGGACTATCTTACATACATTGAGAGCAGCCGCTGAGCTCAGAGAGTCAGCCACCGTCCTCGTGGTACGTGTTTTCCTCCGGAGAACACCCTCAGTTCTCTCGTAAACATTAAACACAATACACAAGACCAAACCCTTAGGTGAGGGCCTGACCAGAACTAGACTCCACCGGTGTTCTCCGAGGGAGAGGATGGGCGTGCTCCTCCCTGCAGCCTCTGCGCGTAGTGGGGCACCCAGCACACAGTAGGTGCTCCCTAGGAGTGATTCAGAGGATGAACTCGGCGCTCACCAGGCACCCTCTCTTCTAGTCCCGAGGGCGCCTCGTGAGGTAGATTATCCTCGTCATGCCCATTTCACAGACGAGGGAACTGAGGCTCAGGGGAGCGGGACTTCCCCGAGGCCACAGGCAGGGTGACCCACAGCAGACACTGAGGCGGTTCCGCCGAGTCCAGAGCAGACGGGCTGCCCGAGGGAGGGAGCCTCTTCAGTCTCTCTGGATCGGGGTCCCTGGAGTCTCCCAAGGGCGCTGAGCAGAAAGAACCAGGCTGAACTGCCAAGAAGACATGCAACCTTTATTCACGCTGGACAGCAGGGCAGGTGCAGGCGGCTGGGAGGGGCTGTGCCTGGCCTGCGCACAGTCAGGCCCTGCGACCACCCCCAGCCACGCAGCCGCCACGTGGCCCCTTGGCTATAAGTGAGCACCAGAGACCTCCCGGGCCCCTCTTTCCAGAGTCTGCGTGAGCACCAAGACCGGAGGCCGCCTCTGGGGAGAGGTCGGGCCTCCTGGCCGGGGGAGAGGAAGGCTGGGGGCCACCAGGCTGACAACACGCCCCCCCCCCCGGGAGCGGAGAAGGGGAGGGAAGCCTGTGTCCCTTACATGGCCTGGGCCTCTCGGCATCATGGCTCAGAGGAGGGAGGGTCCCCCTGACTGGCCGGAAGGTTACCCGCTTCAGTTCCTCAGACCCGCTGAGGGTCCGAAGCCTGGCGCCTCGGCCCTGGCCTTTCCCAAGGCAGCACCAGGCCAGGGGAGACGGTGGGTCTCCAGCACCTTAACGCTCAGAGAGTGGGGACATCGGGCCGGCAAGAGGGGACACGAGGGTCAGAGAGCACCTGGGGACAGACATCAGGGCCTGCCGGGGCGGGGGGCTGGGGAGAACCCAGGCCAGGCGCCTTAGGCAGGGTGGGCTGGGCTGGGGCAGGGAGGGTGCTGTGAGGGGGACAGGAGCCCTCGCAGGGGACCACACAGCCGTGTGGGGGCTGTGGGGCTGGGGCTGCTTTAAGGACAGGCGATGAGTAGGAATGAGAGGGGGCAGGGAACACCCCACCTCAGGGGCCCTGTCCCACCAGCCTGGGGGACCGTGGGTGAGGAGGGGCCACGGTGTCTGAATGCCCGGAGCCCAGACTTTTGTGACAAGAGCACCATGCGTTCCTCCGGGTCAGGCCCTGGAACCCTCCGCCTCGCACCAGGGCCGGGTGTGTGCCCACCGAGCACAGGTCTGTGTTTGACCCGCCCAGCGCTCCCGGGCCGCACAGTGAGCTCCCTCCTGAGGTCGGATGAATGACAAAATGAGCAGTAATGGTGCAGGCGAGAGGGAGAGAGGGAGGGAGGAGGGGCAGTCAGAGAAGTGAGGGTGCTTAAGGATGCCGTGATGATTCTAGGAGGCTCAGAGGGCTCGAAAAGCTTAGGGAGAAGGTTCTAGAGTCTGGTCACTCCAGCGCGGCCCACAGACCAGCCATGGGAGTGTCACCCATGAACCGCTCGGACACGCAGCGTCCTGGGCCCACTCACCCACGCCTGCCCGATGGAATCTGCGTTTGGGCAAGAACAGTCCCCGGGGTGACTCATGTGCAGGTTCCAGTCGGAGACGTGCTGGTCTGACAGGCTGGGAAGGCTGTGGAGCGTTCAGGTGAGGCGGCTTCTCACGATCTGTGCAGGAGCGGGGAGCGGCAGAGACAGCCGGGGAGGGAGGGGAGGAAGAGGAGGGCCACCCAGAGTGCCTGGGCCCCCGGGCCCGCCTTACAGAGGGGGACGCTGAGGCCCTGCGGGGGGCGGGCGCCCCCGGGAGCCGCCCCAGCGGGAGGCGCTAGTCGTCCTCGGGCTTGACGAGGTGGCCGCTGAAGGTGATGTAGATGTCCACGTCGTCGCTGTAGATGGCGTTCTCCCGCTCGCGCTTGAAGAGCCGCGCCCAGACGCGGTCGCCGGGCGCCAGGGCCAGCATCACGCTCTGGCTCTGCATGATGCTGCGGTCGCTGGGCTGCGCGTACAGGATCACGGCCGCCTCCTCGTTGTGCATCACGTGCACGTAGGTCTCCTTGAAGTTCCAGCTGTGCACGTTGAGGCTGAAGAAGTAGAGGCCGCCCAGCGGGGCGGCGAAGTGGCCGGCGGCCAGGTCGAAGTGCCCGTCCGGGTTCGCGAAGACCGTGTCGAAGAGCAGCGGCTGGAAGCCCTCGCTGCTGTGCAGGGCCGTCCGGCGGCCCACGGAGAAGGCCGAGAAGCGGGTCTGGCATGGGCCGCCCGGGCTGCCCGCCTGCCCCTTGTCGCCCTTGCTGCCCTGGGGGCCTCGCTCTCCCCGGGGACCCTCCCTGCCCAGCCTCCCGGGGGTGCCCAGCGGGCCTCGGTCCCCTTTGTCACCTGTGGGAACAAAGGAGAAGTCAGGGCAGGCCCCCGGGGCCGCCGGGCCGGACCGAAGGGGGCACCTACACTTGTCTGCCCAGAGGAAGGCCAGAGGAGCCAGCATCTGTGCACCTACTGCGCGCCAGGCATGGCCTCCCCGAATGCCCCTCTGGAGAAGACACGGACCATGGCCACTCACAGAGAGGGTAAGTGACTCGCCCAGGGTCGCCCAGCACAGGAGCAGGAGAGGCAGGCTCTGCCTCCAGTGTGTCTCCACCCCCGCCCACCCCCCGCCTTCCCGGGAGAGAGGGTCCCGCTGGGGGCTCAGGGAAGGGGGACACTGCATGAAGCCAGCTCCAGCGGGGATGGGCAAGGGCAGGGTGCACTTTGCACTTCTGACCCAAAGAAGGAACCAAGGAAAGCACCCAAGGAAAGCACCCCTGGGAGGAGCCAGGCAGCCCTTGGTGGGCTTTACACCCCTCCCTCCCCGCCCCCGTGGACCCGGCCACAGCTGGGGTCCTGGTTGTATGTTGAAAAGGGTCACACGCACCTCACAGGCGTGTCCGCCAGCCCTCAGCAAAGGCGGCGTGGGAAAGCACGCTGCGAACTCCGCAAACACGCAGCAGGACCGTTCGCCCAGCACAGTGGTTGGCAAACCGCGGCTCGCCAGCCGCAGCTGGCTCTTTGGCCCTTGAGTGTGGCTCGGTGTTGGAACCACGACTTCAAAATGGACTCGCCCAGAAAACCGCCTTCTGCGCACGGGCCACGAAGTTTCCAGCGCACTGTGTGTGCGCGCCCGCATGTGGTGTTTTGTGGAAGAGCCACACTCCAGGGGCCAAAGAGCTGCGTGTGGCTCGCGAGCTGTGGTTTGCCGACCACTGACCTAGCACTGCTCGGCCCATGTCCACCTGCCCGGGCGGCTGGTAGCAACTCCCCTGACCCCCAGGCAGACATGCCTCTTGCTCCGGGCTGACCTTGAACATGGGAATCAGGGGGCCACTTGTCTTGAGGGACCTGATCCCAAGTAGTTCCCTCTGCCCAAACCCGGCCCCACTCCCCATCTCACCCAGGGGGGAAATCCAAGTCCGACCTGGGCCCTGCTTCATCTTCTTTCCCTGCTGCTGCCCCTTTAAAACCCAGGCCCGCTCCTGCCCGGGGCCTTTGACCCTGCTGCTCCTTTTGCCTGGGATGCTTCTCCTTCCGTGGGAACTGCCCATCCTGTGTGATTGGCAACCTGCCTGGACACCCGCACGCCCGATGTCCCTCACCCGCCCACCCTGCCACCCCCACGGCATTTGTCACCATCAAACGCTGTATCATCTCGTTCACCCGGGCCGTATGCGCATCGCTGGCCGCCTCCCCCACCCGAATGGAAGCGCACTGGTGGCGGGTATCTCTGATTTGTTCATGCTCCAGCCCCAGAACTCAGAAGAGTCCTGACACATAGTAGGCGTCTTAATTCATGTGTGGGCGAAAGGGTCGGGAATCGTTTTCTGTCCTGGTTTCTCCTGCTTCCTCCACCTCCCCCCACCCCCCAGGCCCAGGAAGACAGCCCCCTCCCCCCCACCCGCCCTCCATGTCCCCGACCCGGCCAGTCGGCCTGAGCCACGGACGAGCACTCACCCTTCAGGATGGTCATGTTAATGTAGGGCCTGACCTCAGGCCACACGTAGGGAAGGGAGGATGGAGAGGCGGAGGACTCGTCGGCGGCATAGGCAGGGGCCAGCGGGTCCCCGGAGTCACAGCACTGTCGGCAGCGCCCGGGGGCACCAGAGGCCACAGCGTCCCCAGAGGTGTGCTCCTCGGTGGGGACCCCAGACACCAGGAGAGGGAGCAGAAGTGCCGTCCACAGGAGGTCCAGGGCAGCTGTCTCCATGGTGGCCTGGAGCAGGGGAGGGGGGACAGACAGGGTACCTAAATTACCATCCCCACGGTGCCCGTGCCCGCACGGATGTTGCCACCCATAGCAAGTGCGTTCCTGACATAACTCGGGGAAGAACGCCAGTGCATCCATTTAACAGACCGGAACACTGAGGTCCACCCAGAGGAGCAAGTTCTTCAAGGTCCCAGAGACTCGTGGCAGGCAGGGCAGGGCAGGGCCTGGAGACTGAGTCTCCCGGAAGGAGCCCAGTCTCCGAGGGCTCTGCCACCCAAGGTCCCGGAAGGAGGAAGCCCCCCACCCCCCCAGAGAGAGCCACGGCCCAGAGCAGAGGCGGCTCCGGGAGACCTGGGCTGGGGGTGGGCGAGGAAGGTGCCCCAGCAGCCCCTGTGCCAGAACCACTGAGACTGTCAAATGCTCTTCCACCCTCCCGGCTCCCTCCGGCCTGCCCTCTCACCAAGGACAAGTGAGGGGCCCCTGGGACAGACACAAAGGATCCCGCAGGCTTGCTCTGAGGGGAGGGGACTCGTGGCTGAGCCCATGGTTTGGGGCATGAGCACGAGGTCCTCCTGACAAAGAAGCCAGGGAAGTTCATTCATTCTAGCAGACAGGCAGCCACTTCCATCCGAGAGCACACAGGGTTCTGCATGTGTGTGTGTGTGTGTGGGGGGGGGGTGTTATATTGGGGAGCAGTGAGGAGTCCGCCGCAGCCACTGCTGGCCTGCAGGGACCTTCCTGCAAGGGAGGGGGTGCTCCTGGGGGGACACATTAGAACCAAGAGAGTGTGCACCCCGGAGCAGGGACCTTGGCACAGGCTGGTGCCAGCTTCTCTCCTCTGGGCATCAACCACCTGCAGGACCTCACACCGAGTCCTTGCAGGGAAGCCTCAGGCGGGAGTTAAATCATTGGAAAGAGGTGGTGTCAATCATAGTAGACCTGCCAATCAGCTGCCAAGGTGGTAAATTGGAATTAAGGGGCAGGACCAGGAAGCCTGGAAACCTGAAAAGGCTCAGAGAAGGCCAGGGTTGGTGAGGACCTGCTCTGGCCTTGGCGAGGGAGGCGGGAGCCAGCGTTCCTGGAGAGGGGCCGGAAGTAGCTGGACGCCAGCCGCTGGACACGGGCCGGGCTGGGGGGTCAGGAAGCCGGGCAGGCAGCCTTCGGGGGCTGGCCTGAGATATCGCACGATCAGAAACGCGGCTTTTGAAACCCCGGCTGGTTTTTACACCTTCTGGCGTTTCTTTGTTTATTTCCTTTTTGTTCTCCTTTAACATTTAGTACAAGTCAAAAATATTTTTCCTGTGGTTACTACCCGTAGCGAAGGTATTGTTTTAAATGCCACCCTGTCTCTCTGCGCTCTGTGGTAAGAGCTAGGTTTTAAAGGGGCAGAGGCCCTCTCCTGAGCGCCTCCCCTCCCCAGGGCTGGCTGGTAGCAGAAGCGAGAGGGTGCCGGGCAGCCTCCCCAGCCATCGCCCCCTCCTGGAGGTGGCCGTCCCCCAGCTCCTGCCCCTGGCCCTGGCCCCCTGGTCAGTGTCCTGGTTCTGCTCTGTAAGGCAGGTCACACCCACACAGACCAGCATCCTCTCTGGCCGTGAGGACCACCCTCACCTCTTGTTTGTAAACTGCACATCCCAGCGGTTTTGAGAAAACCAACAATCCCGTTTCCCCGGAGTCAGACGTGAAATCCCAGGCTCGCTGAGGAGCCGGAGCCCTGGGCCTGGAGGTGGGACCTTCTGGCTTCCCTGCTCCTGGGCGCCCACAAGGAGAGGACACGGCCATTCCCGCCGGGTTGCTGGGAAGGTGTAAGCACAGCGAAGCTGGCTGACCTGCCAAAGACTCTTAATAAAAAGTTCGCTGCTCCTTCTGCCCAGCGTGACCTCCTCCCGGGACAGGGCAGGGCGGGCAGCCCGGGACTCCTGCAGAGGACTGGCCCGTTTGGGGACCTGGCTGTGGGCTCCAGCCAGAGGACAGTCAAGAGCTCTGGGACACAGACTTCCTGGCCTGGGGGACGGGAAGCAAAGCAGCCTTAAACAAAAGCCACAGCCCAGCCCGGATCACCAACTGGCATGGAGGAGGGTGCCAGGCAGGGAGTGTGGGGGGCCATGCCACTGAGGGTGCCAGAGGCTCCCTGCTGCCTCCACTCAGGAGCTGGGGTCTCTTTGGGGTGGGGGAAGGGCCAGGCCCACCAGGGTGGGCACAAGCCAGGAGCAGCAGGGGGCAGCCCCTCACCAGGGGCTGAGGCTCAGTCACAGGAGGGGGTGGGGAAGGGAGAGCCTGGTGGGATGGTGCAGGGCCTGAGATGTGTCCAGGAAGCCAGGAGGGAGGAGAGGAATCCCAGGCTCTGGCCCCAGCCTCCTGCCCGTGGGAAATGCAAGACCTCCCTCACTCACCCTCCGTCCCGCAGGCTCGCCCGCCGCTCACAGACCCCGGGCCTCGGGTCAGCCTCTGGCTCCTTGGCCCATGTCTGCAGTAATAACTGGTTGCTGGCCCAGACCCCCAGGCCAAGCGGAGGAGGAGGGAGTAAGGGATGGAGGCAGGGCGAGAGGGAGGAATCCAGGGAGGGAGGGCGGGCGGAGGAAGAGGGCTGAGCTGGCTTCCCACGTCCCCTCCTCCCTGCTCCTTCCCCTCCAGCCGAGATAATGGGAGCTCTGGATTTCCTTTGCTTAACTCTTTGGCGGGTCTTGTTGGACACAGAGGCCCAAAAAGTCAGCACCAGGAGCGACCAGAAGCCCCTGAGGTAGGGGGTGAGGGAGTCAGGAGCCCCTTCAGTTGCTTGGGAAGGGGAGACAGCTCTGGAATCCTGTGCTGGTGGCCCCCAGGTTAAGCTGAAAAGGGGAGAGGGCACAGGCACCAGCCCAGCAGCTCAGTTCCAATTCTGGTACCACCATCCCCTAGTGACTCTGTGTCTGCAGAACTCTAGTGCCAGCCGCATCTCTGCCAGGCAGGGAGAGGCCCGCCAAGGTTTGCTGAGTGAAGGCGTTACCTGCTGGGCTATCAGGGTGGCAGCTGGACAAAACCCCCACCCCAATGGATGCCAAAGTCCTCCTCCTCTGCCTACAGTTCTGCCACGATTGATTCATCCTCCTGGTCTTAGCCAGTGCCCCGTGGAAATGCCCCCAGGTGCCCACAGGGTCCTGCCTCAGCTTCCTCCTGGTCAGGCTGCAGCCCCATCGCCTGCAGCCAGAGAACCCAGCGCAGAGCCGGTCCATACCCCTTGCTCCCAGCACCCTCACATTCTACATTAAAAATGTCTTTATTGATTTCAGAAAGGGAGAGGGAGATAGAAACATCAATGGTGAAAGAGAATCATCCGTCGGCTGCCTCCTGCACGCCCCACACAGGGGATGGAGCCCACAACCTGGGCATGCGCCTTGACCGGGAATCAAACCGTGACCTCTTGGTTCGCAAGTTGACGCCCAACCGCTGAGCCACACCAGCCAGGCTCATTCTAATTGTTGAGCACCTACGGCCTGGTCCAGGCCTCCTCTTCGCAGGGGCCTCCCGCACTCAGTGGGTCTTCAGATCCAGTATTTGAAGGAGCCCCCCCGGTCGTGGGAAAGGAGCTGGTGTGACTCCCGTGCCACGCCGCTGGTGAAAAGGAGCCACAATTCTGCAGAGCGGAAGTGCTCTCCATCCCACGGGCGTTCCCACGAGGGCACATGGGCACGGTTCAGGGTTTGCCGGGAGAGGGGAGACATGACCACCCCTGGAGGTGCAGGAGTGCAGTGATCTTGGAGGGCTCACTAAAGTCTGGACTGTGGGGCCCAAACCCGCCCACCGAGCCCCGCAGGTGAGCCGGGAGTGGAGACGGAACGCCGCTGGGCTGTGTGGCCGTGGCCAGCTCCCACCGGAGGCTGTTTTCCTCTTTGGGAGATGACCAAACAGCTGGCTGTCCCTGGAAGGACGCTTAGAGATGACCTCAACCAACTCCTCCATCTGTCCCGCGGGGACACTGCGATCCAGGGAGGGCAAGATGTGGCTCAAGGTCACACAGCAGACAGCAGTCCAAGCTGGGACGACGGCCAGACTCCCCCAAGATCTAGCTCTGCTGCTTCTCCCTCCCAAGCCCGCCTGGGGCCCCCCACGTCTATTTGGGGGTCCCAGGGCCCCAAAGGAAAGCAGAAAGGACTATGGCTGCTGGGAAAACGGTCAGGTCCACTCTGGCCATGTCCTCCGTGTGGCCCTGCCCCCAGTAGCACTCCCAGGCGCAGAGCCAGGGCTGCAGAGGGAGGGAGCCAGGGAGTCACTCCCACCCTCCCCTTGCTGCTGCTGCCGCCAGGAAAAGCGCTGAGTCAGCAGCACTGGGAGGGGAGACAGCTGGGTTTTGGTTTAAAAAGCCTAGCATGGGAGAAAGGGGGGAGGGAAGGAAACATGGACGGGGAGCAGGAGGGGGACACGGAAATGGTTTTGTCAGGGCCTCTTACGTGGCAGGCACTGTGCTCTCCCTGCGGGGAAGGCTGCTCACCCCACTGAACAGGTGAGGAGGCCAAACCCGGGGAAGGCACCAGACTCCCCAGGTTCTAGGCCCCATCCTTTGGCCCCCAGCCACACCGGCGCCCCTGAAAACAGCCCCTGTCCCCCTGGGTGCAGGGCAGCTGGCTGGGGGCAGGGCAGATGAGAGCAGGACTGACAAATATTAATATTTGTCCTTCACTCTCTTGAACAGAGTCTGGCTCTCCTCCCAGCTTTCCTGAAATGCCCCCCTTTGTGCCTCGTCCCTCGGTCCCCGGCAGCTTGGAGACCGAGCTCCAGGCCTGGGGCACACAAACCCGGGTGTGCCTCAGCTCCTCCGCCTGCCTTCTCCGAGGCCTTGGGCCTGTCTTCCTACCTCCGAGCCTCTGGGTGTGAGGGACCAGGGAGCCCGGGCCATCTGAGCAGCCTGGTGGGACACCGGTTACTCTACACTGGCCGCCCCTCGGCGCTTCTCCTTGGCCGAACTCTGAATGTGCCGAGGGGCTGCGCCCGTTCTCCTTGGGCACAGAGGAGAAAAATGAAGCGCAGACGCTCAGAATCCGCCTCCCAGCCAAGCCTTGGGAGAAGGTAGACAAACTGTGACATTTCAGCAGTGCTTACAAAGCCGTGGGAACCGGGTGCCTGTCAGAAGTGTGAGAAAGATCCAGACGATTCCTGGAGTCAGCCACGGGAGTGGTGACTGGCCAGTCACCCATCCAACCGCCCAAGGACAGTAACCAATTAAGAGATCAAACAAAGGAAACCGTGAGCGCCACCAACTGGAAACCGGAGAGAACGGGTAGCGCCTTTAGGCCAGTGATGTTCCCACCCACCCCGCCCACCACCTTAGGGAGCTGAGGGGAGGGGAAAGGAGGAGGAAGAGCCCGCTGAGACCTGCAGGGCTGATGGGGGCGCCCACGGCTTCCCCCAAACCCCACTCCCGCAAGGTGGGCGGGCTCCCTCGCGCCCTAGTCCCCCTGAGCCCCTCCTTTGACTAACTGGGTGGACTTCACTCTCTGGACTCAGTTTCTCCATCCTGGGCCTTCTGCAACCCACGGCTGATTCAAAAGGCGTTAACCCGAATTGGGGGAACTGTCCCACTGCACAGAAGAGGAAACCGAGGCTCCAAGAGGCCCCAGGAGGAAAGAGCCAGCGCCGCCCAGGCCCTCGGACCCTGTTCACTGTCAGAGGGGGAGCTGAGGCTCAGGGGAACCGGTGCAGGAGCGGGCTCCCTCCCCACGCAAACGGCCGGCTCTGCGGGCAGAATTAAAGGGAGTGACTCCCCCACCCCAGACCCTCCCATCGCCGCCCACTCCGTCCTCAAGTCCTGGGAGAAGGCCACCGCGGGTCGCAGCCTCGCTCCGCACCTTCCAGGGCTCAGCCAAAGCCGCCCCGGCTGCGGGGACACCGCCAAGATGCGGCTCTGCTCCGGCCGGCCGCGGGGCCTGCATCCGGGTACCTCGCCGTGCAGGGGCGGGGCCTGTGCTGTGTCCTGCGCAGAGAGGAGCCGAACAGACCCGAACAGGGCCGAGCTGGCCGAGCCGGCCGAGTGTTGCCGAGCATAGCCGAATATTGCCGAGTCTGACCGAGCGGATCCGATTGGGCACGAATGAAACCGAGTCTGGCCGAGCCGAGCGGCGTCGGGCTCCCAGAGGCGAGAAGGAGGTGCCTGGCGCCCCCTGCGGGCCGCAGAGCACAGCGCCGGCCTCCGCGGTGCCTGCAAACAGTTCTATGAGATCGGGGTACGGAGCCCACTTTACGGATGAGGAAACTGAGGCTCCAAGAGGGTCCCGGGCTAGCCTAAAGGCACGCGGAGCTAAGAAGCAGTAGCGCTGGCGTTCGAACCTGATTGTGTGGCCGAGAGCTCACTAGCCACTGTAATGGGCATTGTGTTCGCTCTGTTCCTCTTGTAATTGCTGCTGTTTGTTATGGCCGGAGAGGAGAGACCCACCCGGTGTGAAAAGCGGACAGAAGACCAGAGCTCAGAGACAGCTCTCCTCGTACAGACGGGGAAACCAAACAGGCTCTGGGCGTGTTGACCGAATGCGACAGGACGGGCAGTTCCCAAGGGCAAATATTGACATATTTCCTGGTCATTAGAGCAGATAGCAGCACGAAGAGGCCATGTGCCATTGCAGGCCTCATTTCCCCCTTTAACAAGATGGCCACGGAGGACATGGGATCCAGCCTGCCTGCCTACAGGCTGTGTCTCCAGGGCCTGAGCCAAGACCCGAGGTGTCCGGGACCCTGGAGAATGCCAGGTGTGGCCAGGGCACTTTCTTTGAGCCCGTGAAAAAGTGAAGGCTGGTCTGGCCCTCAACACGCTCTCTCTCTCTCTCTCTCTCTCTCTCTCTCTCTCTCTCTCTCTCTCTCTCTCTCTCACACACACACACACACACACACACACACACACACACGAGTGTGTGCCAGTCCTTCACCCCTGGGTGCACACTGCCTGGCCTCGGCTGCAGGGGTTGCTAGGCAGTGGCTGGACCTGTAGGAGGCGACTGAGGTCCCGTGGGGCCTGGGCTGGCGGTCAGGACTACGAGCATTGCCGGCCACTGCCCGATGGCCACCAAGGAGCTGGCACCAGTGTCCTCAGAGCTCTCTCCACTCCCAACACCACTCCTGATACCCGGCCCTCGTTACTGTAGTTTTAAAAAACTGCAGACACTGGACTGGGGGCTAGGAAAACAGGGTTCTTGCTCCTACCTCTGGTGCTGCCACTGGGCAAGTCACATGGCCTAAGCAAGCCTCACTGTCTTCAGCTATAAAGTGGATACCAGAGCTGTGCTCAGCACCTTGGCTGTCTCCCACGCCTCCTTCCCTGTGCACAGACTCCAGTTCCCTCGTCACGCTCAGCCGGTCATAGCCCCCTCAACCCCCCAGGAGACGTCCACCCCCACTTCTCATGTTTATTGAACACCTAGTGGCTACAATGCACTGGGCACGGTTCTAAGCTGTTTGTAAATATTAACTCATTTAAAGCTCCTAATAAGAGAGACAGGTGCTCTTGTCCTCCTCTCAGGGAAGAGGCAACCGAGGCCCAGAAAGCTTAATGAGCTGGCTCCAGGTCAAACAGGTAGTGAATGGATGAGCTGGGATTCAAACTCAGGCAATTCCAGAGTGAGGAGGGTGGGAAGGATTCACAGCTGCCTCTTCGGCAGCCGATCAAGGATTCTCTCATCATTGATGTTTTTATCTCTTCCTGTCCCTCCCTTCCTCTCAGAATCAATAAAAATATATTATTTAAAAAAAAACAAACTGTCTCTTTCTCTCTTATCCTGGTTCCCGAAAGACAGGCCTTATATTTCTCTGCTTTCAGCTTATTGCATTTGGCAGCTGCCCGATAAACATTTGTTGAATGAAAGAATGCACAATTTAGTCCATCCGTCCTCCCGAGAGCCAGGAGGGAAGGGGGTGTGGGTTGTGTCTGCTTTGCAGGTGGGGAATTATATTAGTTTGCTAGGGTTGCCATAACAAAGCAACAGACATTTCTTTTCTCTCAGTTCTGAAGGCTGCAAGTCCAAGGTGTCGGGCAGGGTCGCTTCTTCCTGAGGGCTGTTCCAGGCCTCTGTCCCCGCTTCCGGGATTTGCAGGCCAGCTTTGGCGGCCCTTGGCTTGCGGAAGCATTGCCCCGGCATTTTCCCCGTTGCAGGCCTGTGTCCAAACCTTAGGAACACCTGTCACATTGGAGTCAGGGGCCCAACTGGAGGTTAGGACTTCAATACATAAACTGGGGCGACAGGAGCACCATTGAACCCACAACAGGAATTTGCCTTCTAGGAGGCCCCGTCTGACGCCATCTCCGTCCCTGAACCGGGCCTCGCCTCTGCCTTCCACTCCTGGTCCTCCAGCGTCCAGCCCTTAGCACAGGCGGGTCCCTCTGCCTGGCACACTCGTGCCCCTCACTCTGCCCCCCGTGCAGCCTCCACCCCTGACCTTCCCACAGTGATGCTCCCCCAGAACAAGCTCCACTCGCCTCCCCACTGCATAGCGACTCAGTGACTGGGGTGGCTGCCCGTGGGTGCCCAGGGCACGGGCACAGGATCTGTTTTCTCCCACTGTACCCCAGCCCGGTGTCAGCGAAATCTTTGTGAACTCCAGGAGCTGTGCCCAGAGGGGTGAGGGGAAAGGCCCAGAGTTACACAGTAGGTTCGGGGCTGGGGCCCAGCTCCCATGACTCTGAGGGGGTGCATTTCCCTCACAGCCTTCCCCTGGCCTCAGCAGGGCCTGCCGGAGACAGGGGAGCCCCCTGGGACCTGGGCACAACGCCAGGGGGAGCCTCTCACCTCACACCAGTGGCTCTCGCCCTTTCAGAGTGCTCTCTCCTGTGTCTGGAGTCCTGCAGAGCCCAGACTGTCACCTTCCCAAGCGACAGTGGCCTCTGTCTCCCCGGCCCCTTGTAGGAGAAAAGGGCCTGAGGCCCCGGGGCCTTCTCTACCACAGGGCCTAGGACCCCCAGCTCCTCTCCTGTCATGCCAAGGCTGACGCACGAAGTCCTGCTCCAGAGCATGGTGGCCATGGGCTGTTGCCTGGCAATGACTTCTAAGAAACAAGTTCAAGGGAAGATCTGGTTTTGAGCAAGTTGGATGCCTGCAGCCAGGCAGGGCGAGTCATCGCCACCCTTTCTGAGGGCTCGGCCTCACGACCCCAGAGCCCCCCTCACCCAGTCGTCCTCACGGTTCCCGTAGCCCACACATTCCAGCCCCAAACCCCATACCAGCTCTTCCCTCCCCTCGCCCACACGGCCCCCTTTATTCAGGGTCCCCATGTTGTACAAAACCAAAGAAAGCTAGCGTCACCCTGTGAAACTTCCCCCTTGGGGCTGTGAAATGGAATACTCCTTATTCGTTCATCTACTCTAAATCCTCATGAGAGAGGCCCAAAGTGCTGCCCGCCCTGGAGACACAGATGCACCAGGAATGGTCCCTGCCTGGAGAGGCAAGGCTGGCAGGACACCCCGACACAGACATCCACATATGCGAGCGCAGGCAGTGACACACGTGTAATGGGTGGAGAAGCTCCGGGGCTGTGGGATCCAGCGTGTTGAGTAGGAGTGGGGGGAATGGGGGGTCAGGGGGGAAGAACCCTGGCCTGGGCACCATTCCCACAAGCACTGGACCCTCATGGATACAGCTAAGATGTCCTGAGCACCTACTGTGCACCCGAACATCCCCTAGCCTGCTATTGACACTCCTGGCTAGCCTCCCTTTGCCATTGTAGTCTGCCCGCCCCCCCTCCCCCAACTCCTACTCCATGGGTCAGCCAGACTGTTCATCACAGAGTCCTACCTTCTCTGGGGCTGGAAGAATGGTCACATGACCCACAAACAGCCAATCATGGCACTCTATCACCTTGCCTTTTGTTATTGGCCCAAGGGACCACCAGGTGCCCTTGTTGGGACCAATCAACTTCCTTCCAGGAGATTTAAGATTTGGATATAGGAAGAAAGCAAACTATTGCTTTTGCATCAAGATCTGTAAGGTGATAGGCTGAGGTTTGTCAGGGGTACCGTCCACACCCCTTGGAGGTCCGGAACCCTGGGTTCTGGGAGCATCCTGGTAGAGATGGACGCCCACACACACACACACACACACCCAACTAGACACACCCAACTAGACACACAGCACCTGGCAAAGGAACCAACCCAGGTCATGGCTGTTGTCATGTGTTACCATCTTTATTGACGAGAGCTAGGGGAAGGGGCAGGGGCAGCAAAGGATTTCTCTAAGGGGCCTTCCAGCCACCCTTGCAAAGTAGGTTTCCCTGCCCCAGAAATCAGGAAGGTGGGGCAGCCTCTGCCAGTGGACCACCAGGTCCCCTAAGGGGTCGAAACACTCCCCTAGGCCCTGTCTCCCTGAGCCTCTAACCCGCAAGTCCACTTTCCTCACCCCCAAGGGCCAGATACAGAGAGGTGAAGGAGAAGGGGTCACCCCACCCCCACCCATTACAGCGTGTGTGTGGCAGTTTACCTGGTGTGACTTATTTCCCTCCCCAGATCCAAGGAGGCAGGCATGCTGGGATACCACCTCCATTTATGGTGGGGAAACTGAGGCCCGGAGAGGTTGAGGCTGGCCAGGATCTGGAGGTGAGTGGAAGATGTGGGTCTCCCCATTTGTGGCCCAAGTGCTCTCCCTGAGGACCCCCTTCCCCCCGCGGAGTGGAGGGTTTGGGGGTTTAGCCAGAGGCACCACACTCCCCGGGGCCAGTCTCACTGCGGCTCTGAGGGGTCATCTCTGGGAGGGAGTCCAGGCCAGTCCAAGCCAGCCTTAGCCAGTGGTCTCTCCCTGTCATCCAGCTTTGTTGTAGTGGTTAATCCTCACCCAAGGATTTCCATTGATTTTTAGAATGGAAGGGAGGGGTGAGATGGAGAGAGAGAGAGACAGCAACATGAGACACACTGATTGGTTGCCTCCCACATATGCCCTGACCATGGCCAGGATGGAGGTATGTGCCCTTCACTGGAATCGAACCCAGGACCCTTCCAACCAGGAGCCGACACTCTAACCACTGAGCCAAACCAGGGAGGGCCTGTGGTTCCACTTTTTTGTCTTGTCTTCCCTGGGTCTTTCCAACCTGCAGCCCCGGGGGATTCTGCTTCTCAGCACAGGCAAGGCCCCGCCCCTCCCCACCCCGAGCCTTTCAGAGCATCTGCGCTTCCACCTGATGCATCATTTTCTTGGGGCTGTTGGGCCGGCACCTCAGTTTCATTGATGCAGCAACTGAACTCAGTGCAGAGGGGCCAAGGACAGCTCCAAGGTCATGGAACAGATCTATCCCCCACCCTCCTCCTCCTCTTCCCCTCCTCTCTGGCCCCTCCTCTTCTTCCTCCTCCTCTCAGCACTCACTGTCTTACCCTCTGCCTTTCCGTGCCGGTCTCCCTGGAGGAACTGGGATGTTTCTCCCGCGAGCCCTCAAAGACCCAGAGACACCCCACACCCGCCCTCCTTCCAGCCTCTGAACACAAAGTGAGCTGCTTTGGGGGTTCATAGGCTCCCTCAGCAGGGGCTGAGCTGGGCTTTGGGTGGCCTAAGCTTATGCATTTTGGGGTCCCTCTTTCAGAAAAGCAATACAAAATGCAAGTACAACATCAGGCGCAGGGACTGAGAAGGGCCCAGGCAGTAAGGGGCCCACCCTGCAGCTGGATTTAACGAGCTTCTCCTCCTCAAGTCCAGGGTCACAGGAGTCCCGGCCCACCATCTGAGCAAGAGGGCATGGAGGTTATTGGGTTGCCCAGCAGGCGAGGCCTGCAGCCCAGAGACAGATGCAGCATCAGGGGAGAGCTGGTGCGGGCCTGAGCAGCCTCACACACACACACACACACACACACACCCCAACGGGGCAAGATTTCCTTCTATTGGCGGGGAAGGGGGCGGGGGTCCAGCTCCCCGTGAACCCGGGCCCCAGCCCCTCTCCCATGAGCCTGACTCTGAGCCCAGGAAATCCAGGCCTTGGTTTATCCTCTGAGGACCAAGACTCAGGCCAACCCATTAGGATGCTGTGTCTCTGAAGGGCATGGCCAGTCAGCACCTGTCCCCTTCACCCGGGCCCCCTCGGGAGGGTCAGCCCAGCGGTAACGTCCCTCCAGTCTTCTCATCCCGAGAAGCTTGTCTAGACTGAGGGCTCCCGTCCCTGAGTCACAGAGCAGCACACGAGGCCCAGAGAGGGCAAGCGGCCGATCCGCCGTCACACAGCGAGTCTCGGCAGCAACGGGGCCTGAACAGCCCATCGCTGGCCCTGGCACCTCGGGTGGCAGGCCCAGGCGCACCCACAGCCTCTGCTCTGCACTTGGGCCACTCCGGCCCTCCTCAGGCCCTACAGACAGCTGATGTGCAGGGTGCCCGGCTTCTCCCCCGCAGACGGCTCCTGGGGTAGAAACTGCCGCTCCCTGCCGGGCACACCGCTAGGAGGCAGCTCCTGCCTGCTGGTGCCAGGCTGTGCGATCTGGCTGACCCGGCCGTTCATCTGCTTGGCTTTCCCCTGCTTCCCTGCCCCCTTCTTCCCACCCCCCTCTCCCTCCTCGTTCTCCTCCTCGTCCTCCTCTTCCTCCTCCTCCTCCTCCTCCTCTGTCTTCTCTGGAGGTCCGGCCGGGGGCTCCTGGCTTCGCACCCGGCGGGAGGGCCGGAGCAGGACCCGGCGGAAGCCCTGCTTGAAGCGGTAGGAGAGGAAGCCGTAGAGGATGGGGTTGGCACAGCTGTTGGCGTAAGGCAGTGCCACCACCAGGAAGTAGAGGCCGAAGAGGGCGGGCTCCTCGGGCAGCGGGCACACCACGTTGACGATGTTGAGCACGTAGAAGGGCATCCAGCAGAGGACGAAGAGCGCCACCACGGCCACCACCATGCGGGTGACCCGGCGCTCCGAGCGCCGCCGCCGCTGGGACGAGGGCGCCCACACGCGCCGGCCGGCCGAGCGCATCTTGACCACGATGAGCAGGTAGCAGAGGCAGATGACCAGCAGCGGCCCGAAGAAGCCCAGCGCCGCCGTGTAGATGATGAAGCCGGCGCGCCAGGCGGCCGCGGGCTCGGGCCACTGCATGTGGCAGGTGCTCATGCCCCGCGGCACGCCCGAGAACACCACCACGGGCAGCACCACCACGGCCGAGGCCACCCACACGGCCGCGCTGACGGCCCGCGCCACGGGGGCCGTGCGCCAGCGGGCCGAGCGGGCCGGGTGCACCACGGCCAGGTAGCGGTCCACGCTCATGACCGTGAGGCAGAAGATGCTGGTGAACTGGTTGATGCCGTCCACGGCCATGACCAGGCGGCACATGAGGGAGCCGAAGGGCCAGTAGGACAGGGCGTTCTGGGCGGCCAGGAAGGGCAGCCCCAGCATGAAGAGCTCGTCGGCCAGCGCCAGGTTGAGGATGTAGACGTTGGTGACGGACGGGCTGGCCGCGTGCCGCAGGACCACGTAGATGACCAGCGAGTTGCCCAGCAGGCCCACCACGCACACCACCAGGTAGACCAGCGGGATGAGGACGCCCCGGACCGCCAGTCCGGCAGCGCCCGGGGCCGCGGACGTGTTTCCCAGGGTGGCATCCGGGAGCCAGGCCGAGGCGTTCTCGGGTTCCGAGGTGGTGGGCAGCGGCGAAGGGTAGCCGAGGGTGTCCATGGCGGAGGGAAGGGCCGTCAGCGGTCAGCTATCGGCCTGCCTGGAGGAGGGAGGACACAGCCAGGTTAGGCAGAAGAGTCTCCTTGATAAGGGCACTAATCCCCTTCGTGAGGGCCCCACCCAGCTGCCCCTCCCCCCTCACACTGAACTTGTGCTCTGCCAGAGTGAGGTGCACCAGCTCATCATGGCACAGGCCCGCAAGGTATCCCCACTTCTCAGATGAGGAGACAGAGTCTTAGAGAGGTAGAGTGACCACCCTGGACCACCATAGCAAAGGTGTGGTGAGGGGCGACGGTTTGCCTGGCTCTAAAGCACAGGGACCAGCGCTGGCCTGTGTCCCCTCGCCTGTGCACAGGGTGAGTGCTACACAGTGTCTAATAAGGAATCAATGGATCGTTCAATCAGCCGATGACAGCATGGGCCCTTTCCTTTATACCCGTGCTTTCCAAATATTTTTGATGCCAGTATATTTTGCATAGCAATCCATTGAAGTCGTATTGTTTCATAAAGCAACACCTGCCCTTTCTACATAAGATGGTCCCAGCCAGCTGCTACAGACAATGCATCTCCCACCAAATTCATGTGTTGAAATCCTAAATCTCCCCCCATTGATGGTATTAGGAGGTGGTGCCTTTGGGAGCTGCTTATGTCATGAGGGTGGGGTCCTCATGAAGGGCATTAGTGCCCTTATCAAGGAGACTCCAAAGAGCTCCCTTTCCCCTTCCGCCAAGGGAAAAGATGATCATCTATGAACCAGGAAGCAGGCCCTGGCCAGACACCAAATCTGCCAGCACCTTGATCTTGGACTCTAGACCTGTGAGAAGTAAATTTTGGTTATTTATATGTCCGTCCCCCAATCTATGGTAATCGGTTGCAGGAGCCCAAATGGACTGAGACACCCACCAACAGGTCTCAGCCCTCACATTTGAAAACACTGCTGCACATCACAGGTCCTTAACCTTGAACTTGGGTCTCCAGGTGAATTTCAAAGCATCCATGAACCCTGAAAACACTGAACGCCCAGAGCTTTCATCAGATTAAGAACCAGAGGCTCAGGAGTAGCCCTCCCCTGGGAGTCAGAACCTTTTGGGACCTTTTCTGCCTGCCCCAGTCCACGTGCAAAGACCCTGCCCAGGATGGCTGGCTGTGAACCTGGGGAGGGGGGCTATCTGGGGCTCCTCCCCCAGAGGGAGGCTGTAGGGAAATTCAAAACACACTAGAGCAGCGGTTGCCCCTAGTGGTCAGTGAGGTCCGAGAGCTTGGTGACCGCTGCACTAGAGGTAAGCACAAGAATAACCGCCTCCCTAGTCCCAGCAAGCCAGGCCTCCCTGAGACTGGACATTTCAGGAAGGGTTTTGAAGCATCAGTAAGAGCTCGCCCCCCAGCACAGTGGGAACCAGCATTCCCACATATTGTGTCAGCGCCCTTGTCACCCCTCCCGTGCATGATGAGGAGCCCGGACCCCTCCTGACTCGACTCTCCTTAAGTGTGGAGTCCCTCTCACCCAGCTCCGAACCTCTCCCGCCTCCCAGCTGTGCCTTGCACACCAGCACGAGCTCTGCAGCAGTGTCTGAGGCACCACCAAACGAATCAGAGGAACCAGAGGGGACAAAGCTGAACGCGGAGGAAGGGTGCATTGCTGAAGCCCAGGCTCCTCAGGGAAGGCCCCCCTGCCCCCGGATTTGCTAGCCTCCCTCACAGGACTTCCTGGCTCTCAGGAGGTCCAGGTAGAGGCCAGGCTGAAAGCTGCAGCCTCCTCGGGGCCGGGACCTCCCCCTGCTTCCTAATGATCCTACTACTATCCAGTATCTTCTGCTACTCCAGTGCTGGGCCTGGAATGTCCTGGTGTGAACCTGGGGTTTGCATTGCCCCACCAGGACCCCGCTTTCCAGATGGAAAGGGGAGGTGCCCCAAATCGGAGCAAGTGTCACTGGGTGGGCGAGCGTGCCTGGGTGCCCTGCCTGATGGTCTGGGGCTTCCCGGGGTTCTGAGTGCCAGGCAGGGCAATGCTGAGAATAGCAAAGCTCCCCCTGACCCTGGCTCCCCCTGCAGGGACCCCAGGCTGGCTGGGCTCAGAGCACCCCCTCCCTGCTCTTCCAAGCCCGGGAGAGACCCCCAGGCTGTCCTCATCACCCCAGGCCCTCAGTAGCTCCCCTGGGCCTGGGGCAGCACACTGAGGGAGGGGCTCTGGCAGTGGCTCATGGGGTCCTGACAGTGTCGCCATCTCCTTGTCACTGAGTCCAGCTGCCTGGTGCCCGTCTAAGCAAGTGACACGCTGCCCACTGTGGGTCCCATGAGGAAGGCATTCGTGTCTGCCATCCCCATGGAGACACGGAACAAAGTGAGTCCACACGCTCTGGCCACATAGCTGTGAAGGGGCAGAGCTGGGAGGGCCCACTTCGCAGGCTGGCAGACTGAGGCCAGGCCTGGGGAAGGCACTTGCCTGGCGCCACAGGGGTCAGGCCGCCCAGCCGGCTTCCAGCTCTCCCGCGGGCCTGGCCAGAGCTCTCGGGGCTCCTCAGGGACCTGGAGCTAATAGGACCGTAGCCCCAAATCCCTAGGCTCTCGGAGGCCTAGAAATAGAATTGTGGATTCTTAGAACGGAGTGGTGGCAATGCGCTTTCAGATCCGTGGCCTTGAGTCAGAGAATGTTACGGATTCAATGCCCGAGCCAGCCCTCCTGAGACCCGGAACAGCAGAATCTGGGACCTGAGCCCTGGCTGCCTCCAGGGAGCCCTGCGTCACTCACCATCCCCCTGGCCTCCCTGTGCGCAGGCAGATCCTCCTTAGAGCCTCCCGCCAGGCGGCCAGTCCAGCTCAGTGATGGAAGAGGAGGCGGGTGCCAGGCTCCCAGGAGAGGAGCAGTGAGCCGGGAAGGCCTGATTGCCGGGCTGCAGCAACACACGCCCCCAGGGAGGCCTGGGGGTGAGCTCTGAGGACAGCCTCCCTCTCGCCGGTCACACACGTGTGCACCCACCCACACAAGCATGTGTGCTAATGCACACGGTCCTGGCAGCATCCAGAGGACCTTCTAGGCCCTGCCTTTGACCCAGGGTTGAACCAGCTCCTCCCAGAGCCCCAGCCCCCTCACAAGAGCCCCCGCCTCTGCCTTAATCTGGACGCATCTCCCCTGGCCAAGTTCAAGGGGCCAGGGCACCAACAGCAGGGAACAAACAGCTTTCGGGGGGGGGGGGGGGGGGGGGGGGTGTCCTCAGCCAGACCTGCGATTTAGGTGCCGCCTTTTCTGTAAGGAGCCAGAAGCCTGTGCCTGATCCAGTTCACCCAGGAGGAGGCCCTGCCTCCCTGTCTGGTTTGTCTTTGCACAGCTGGCCTGCAAGCTGGGGGTGGACTCCTCAGAGGGCTGTCCAGGGGGACAGAAGCCCAGGGAGGGACAGTGGCGGCCCTGAGCCCCACATAATTCAGGACGGCGCTTCGGGGATCCGAGACGCCCCATCTGCTCTGCATTTGTCTGCCCCCAAGCCCTCGCACCCAGCACAGCAGGAAATGAGACCAGACTAAGACGTTCAGTGAGCAGAGCTCTGAGCAGGATGGGGCATTGCTCCGGGGCTGAGGCCTCAGACTCACATTACGAAACCCTCCCAGGGCCCACGAGGGAGGGCGTTCACAGAGGAGGAAGTTGAGGCTCAGAGAGGTTCCGCACGTTGCACAAGGCCGCTCAGCCGGTGAGCGGGAGGTCAGAATGCACACTCGGTTCTGTCTGCTCAGAGACCATCAGCACCCTGGGCCTTGGCGGCGTCCCTGCGGCCTGGGGCTGAGAGGAAGCAGGGACTGGGACAGCCCGCACCACGCAGGTGCACAGCCCCCGGCCAGCTGTGCTCTGTTTGCCCTCTGCTGCCCGGGTGTCCCCCGGGAGGCCCCAGGGCCCTGCCCACGGAAGCACTCCCACCCCAGGCCGGGCATCCGACCCCAGGAACCCGCCCCACACGCCCAAGCTGGGGCTTGGGCTCTGCCACAGAGGGATGATGCCAAACTGCTGTGTGACCTTGGGCAAGTCATTTCCTGCCTCCGGGCCTCGGTTTCCTCCCGTGAAACCAAGACACGCGTACCCACCTCCCGGGGTGGCTGAGAGTCCACGGGCGCGTGCAGAGCCCCGCGCCCAGCCCGGACAGGGAGCTCAGGGAAGCTGGCGCGTGAGCGGAGGAGGCCACGCAGCGCGATGCATCTGGCTCCTTCCCGCTCCGGCACTGCCCTGCAGGGATGCCCCAGATCCTGGAGCTGGGGTGCAGAATTCCAGGATGAATGGCCCCCGTCCCTACAGCCCCCACCCCTCCCCCAAGGCCACAGGAAAGCCTCTTTCCCCCGGGGCCTCCCAACCCTCTCTAGCCACCAGCCCCAACCTCCCAAATGTCTCCTGGGCAGAGGGGGAGCCCCAGGACCCCAGCCCCCAGGCCCCAGCCCCCAGGACCCCAGCCCAGTCCCAGCCTCCTTACCTGTCCGTGGGGTGAGGGGTCCCCTCCTTGATGCCACGCTGGTTATCATCCTGCTGTCCTTTCTGTCTGCACAGTCCCCAGCTGCCCCCGGAGCACCCCTTAGCCGGGGTCCCCACACGGTGCCCCCTTCTGCACAGCTTGCGGCCCGGGGCCCCTCCTAGGCCCGCAGTGGCCACGTCTGCCCACGGCGCCTCTGCCATCTGGTCTCCAGCCCTGACGTCCCCCTGGCGTGTGGCGCGTCCCCCCTCATCCCCAGGACGTGTCCTGGAGGGCAGGGACGCAGATGGGGTCTGCAGCAGGAGCCCGGGGGAGAAGCCTCCCAAGGAAAGAGGAGAAATGGGGAGCAGAGGACTCTGAGGAGCCAACAGAGATAGAGGGAAGGGGGGTCGGCCGGAGGTGGAGAGAGAGAGGGAGAGAGAGAGAGAGAGAGGACAGTGAGTGGGTGGAAAGCCAGAATGAGGGGGAGTGATGAGAAATGCGTGACAGGGAGAATAAAAGGAGGAGGAAAGAGAGCGGGAGAAGGGAAGAGAGGAAGGAGATGCGGAGAGAGAGGCAGGGATGGAGAGCGGGGAAGGAGGGGGTGGCAGAGAGAGTGACAGAGAAGGATGGTGCCACAGATGGTGACACGGAGAGCCAGGGAAGGAGGGAGCAGGAGTGGGGGGTGTGGGAGGGGCCGGGGGGAGGGGCCCAGGGGCCAGAGAGCAGGTGCAGGGTGAGGGAGGAGGGACGGCAGGTTAGGGGAGGAGGCTGGCGGGAAGGGGAGGCCTGTTACCGGGGAGATTTCAGCCACCCACGCTGGCCTTGGCTCCTGCAGGGTGCTGCAGAGGAGAGTGTGGTACTCGGGGAAGCTGGGAGCTGAGAGCCAGGGGCCAGGGCCCCCCCACCCTGGCCACCACCGCACATGTCCCCTAGGGTGATGGCTGGGTGCTGAGGCCGGGTGGGAGTGGCAGTGCCACCAGGAGGGCTGGCAGCATGGGGTGAGCATTGGAATGGGAGTCCAAAGTCCTGGACACGGGGCAGGGAGGAAGAGCAGGCACGGGTGGTCAGTCCCGAGACTGGCTGCGTCCTTAGGGCCCTGGGCAGGGCGAGGCGGGGGAGGACAGGGGCAGGAATAAATGCCGCAGGCTCTGGGGCCCAGGAGACAAACCCGAAGCTGCGGAAAGCAAATGTCCACTCTGTACACCGACAAAATCCAAAACCCAATAGTAATGATTAAGGACGATGATTTGTAATACAGGCCTACCGCTGAGAGGAGCAGAATTCTCCGGGGGGAAATAATATTTGGCTTAATTGAAATTCAGAGGCAGCGCTTGCCGTCATCACACCGGTGGCAAGTGGTCAGTGTGGAATCTATTGTTAGCTGGCAGGCTGGGCACCGGCAGGCGGGGCGGGCGGGGCCCCTGGCTCGAAGGCACTCTGCCCGGGGCCTGAGCATAGGCCGGGCTGCCCCAGGACACCGTGCCCAGCGTGTGCGGACTGACCAGGGGACCACAGGGGAGTCGCCCCCTCTCCGGGCCTCAGTTTCCCCGTTGGGATCGTGCGGAGGTTAGACCAGATCCGTCCGAAGATCCTCTTTCCACGCGAGCCTCACAAGCGCCCAGGGTCAGTTAGCGATGACGGCAGTTTTTATGAGTCCTGGGCTGCGTCAGGCCCGTTATCCTACTTCTCGCCACCGCACCCCCGTGGTAAGCAGCCTGAGTGCACTGTTTACAGATAAGGCAGCGGGGGCTCCGAGAGGGGAGGCCGTCTGCTCAGCTCACACAGGAGAAGCAACAGCCTCGCACCCGAGGTGTATTCCCCCTGCCCAGGAGAGGGGCAGGAGTCTTTGTTGAATGTTTACTGTGTGCCAGGCACTGTCCGGGCCCCCCTCCTTAAGGACAGAGCTGGGCCTACTTGGTCGTAAGGCTGATGTGCAGGAGGCCCTGAGAGAGCCAGGAATCCAGTTCTTCCAGGGGTGTCATCCTGGCTGCTGCAGCACACAGTAGGGCCAGAGACAGAACTGCTTGTGCCTGGAGCCATGGACCCAGGGCCAGGACCTTCCTCCAGTCCTCACTCTTCTGCCCAGACAAGTTGGTGAGGAGTAAGTGGGCTCTGGGGCAGCTCCTTGGTGTGACGGAGGGTCCCATGTCCCTGCCCCTCCCCTGCCCAAGGCCCGTGGCTTCTCATGGCCCACCAGGCTTTACAGGATCCCAATTCTGCCGCCTGTCTTGCCCCGCCCCTCTTCTCCTCTGCCGACCCCTCCCCCAGCCTGTGCTCCAGGCACCCCCAGCCTCATTCATTCATTTACGAAGTCTGCCAGTCTCCCATTCATTCATTAGACAGGAGGCTCAGAAGGCCCCTGAAGAGGTGAGAGAGACTAAGCAACTGTCCAGAGACAGCCTTCAGGCAGAGGGAAGGGCCAGGTCTCAAGCTTATGTGTGCGAGGAAACGGGAGGGGACCGGCATGTCTGGAAAGGGGGGAGGTCACTGTGCCAGATGTGCCATCTCAGTCCTCTTGGGCTGGGAGCCTGCGTTCGAGCAGAGTTCCTGCCCCGATTATGTTTTTCAAATGCTCACCACTCAGGAACCAGTGGGTGCTGGTTCTCCTCGGAGCCTTTGCACAGGCTGTGCCCACACCCTGCCACCTTCCCAGCCCAGGACACTCTCACCCCACCCCTTATGTGAGGTGAAGGAAGTCCTCCTGCAGGTGGCCTCTGCTGGGAGCCTTCCAGGCCCTGGGTTAGCTAGGCCCCGCCTCTAGACTTCCCAGAGCTCCGCCCCCAGGCAGCACAGAGCCACGCCCCCTCCATGGGCCTCTAATCTGAGCTCAAAACTCAGCTGTGGGGTCTGTGTTATAATATCTCTGCTGTGAGCTCCGGAACGGAAGACTGTCTGGGTCTGCGCTGTATCCCCAGGCCTGGCACTGGCCTGGCCAGTGGGCATTTGCTGCATGTTTAAGGAGGAAAAGGGAATAGATAGTTGGCGAGTGGGAGTGGGCAGGTGGGCAGGAGGAGGGGGGACTGTGCTGAGCAGCTGCTGGAGGCTGGAGAGGGATGAGGAGTCCCGAGCACCCAGCTGGGGACAGGTGGGGCCTGAGTCAAACACCCACTGCCACCCATGGGCCTTCCCCGCAGAAATGACCCTGACCGGCCCTCTCCGTGGGGCTGGCGGGCAGGAGGAGGAAGCGCAGCTCTATACCTGTGAGCTCTGGGAGCAGGTGACGCTGGGTGCCTGGGAGACATGGGGTGGCCCGGCCCTGCCTGGCATTGAGGTCCTGGAGTGTGAGGCCTGGACCTGTCACCTCATGTCCCTGATAACCTGGAGGGACTTCTGGCCCGCCTCCCCAAGATAGGACGATGCTCTATGTGTCTTTTCATCACACCCTGGCCCTCTCCAACAAGCGTGCCTCCACCATCAGACAGGTGGTTTCCCAGGAGCTGGAGCCAGGCTCCTCCCACCCCTGAGAGCCAGGGCAGTACCTGCTCCTCCCCTTTCTCCCCAACACCATGCCTAGGCCAGAGCCAGCCAGAGCAGAGCAGGGCCTCCGAGCAGATGCTGGGGTCTGTGTTCTCAGACAGGAGCAGATGAGCCCAAATGCCTTCCCAGCCCACCCCCGGGGGCTTTGTCACTGGAGTCCCCATCAAGGTGTTCCCAGTTCATCGGTCCCTGCTGGGTCCTGCTGGGGTTGAATCTCAGCTGCATCATTCCCTAGCTGTGTGGTCTTGGACATGTGACTTAACCTCTCTGGGCCTCAGTTTCAAACCTGCACAGGGAACTTGCAGGATGGAACTGCTTAGCCCCCTTCTACAGCAGCCGTTTCTCTTGTCCTCCGAGCCAGCAGGCTCACCAGGCACGTTCTCCTGTCAGCGCAAGAGAGCAAGCTCAAGGGCAACACACACTCAGGTCTCTCCTTGTGGTGTGTGTGCTAACAACCCATTGGCCAACAGCAAGTCACCTGGGCAAGGTTGCACCAGTGGAGGGGGAAATGACACTCTGAGCCAGGAGGCAGGGGTGGGGGATGGGAGTGAGATCGCCTGCTAAGCATTAGCCAATCTACCGCAGCCCCAGGAATCAGCCCAGGCTCTCACCCCCTCACCCCCTCGTGCCCGGTAGCCAGTAGCCAGGGGCCTTGGGTCCAGGAGTCTGTGGCTGGAATGTCCCTGCCTGGGCTCAGAGAAGGATGGTCTCCTGGCTGCACAGCCCTGGAAGCCCTGGAGCCCACCTGCTCCTTAAACAGACTTGGCCGTGGGTGGCGCCTGGGTCCCCTCCTTGGGAGCCTCCAGGGGTTCTGCCAGGCCAGTTGGTTTGCATCTCTTCAGGCTCCACCTCCCGCCCCGCAGGGAGCAGCAGGCAGTTGGGCTTGCCTGTGGGCCCGGTTAAATCATTTACCACTCTCCCATCTGCTCTCCCGCTTGTGCTGTGGTTTGGGGTCACAGGTGGCTCCGCTTTCTTTGCGATGAGAGTTTGTGTTCCTGTTTCGCGTTCTTGTCGTCGTGGCTGCTCTCCAGCGAAGTGCAGCGAGCAAACACCTCTCCATCCCGGCACCTCAAGACCAGAGTCTCTTCCTCTCTGCATGGAGAGCTCGGCTGTGGTGTGGGAGCCCAGCCACACGGCGTGTGTGGATCACACGTCTGTCTCTCCCACTGGCCTCGGGGCCCCTGGGGAGCAAAGGCTGGGTCTCACCCTTCTCTTCACTTTCAGCTCCTGGCACAGTCAGGCCCAGAGCACCTGGTTAGTCCGTGGGAGCTGAACTGAATCGAGCTTCGGGTTACACAGATGGCTGCTCGTGGTTTTGCCTTCCTCGAGGCCTTCAGAAGTCTTCTAGAACCATCCTTAGGCCTTTGTCTCCCTCCCCAGAGCCCACCCTGACCTACTTCCATACCCCACAAGGCCTGGATAGAGTCAGATGTCCCTAGAGGCGTGGAAGGGTCTGGTAAAGACAGACATAGCATTGCTTGTGTGATGGGAGAGGGAAGAGAGGTAAACAATGAAAGGAAAAGACAGCAGGAACAGTTTTTCTCAATCTGTTGAGATTTGCTTCCAGGCATGTCTTATTTTTGGCTCAAATAAATTTTTATAAAAATTAAAAAAAAAAAAAAAAAAAAAGATAGCAGGGACTTAGGCTCCAAAATGTCAGCAAAAATTATTGTTGAGAAAAATGGCCCTGGCCCACTTGACTCAGTTGGTTGGGCATCGTCCTAAACACCGAAGGGTTGCCAATCTGGGCACATGACTGTGCTGTAGGCTTGATCCTCAGTAGGAGGCATGCAGGAGGCAGCTGATTGATGTTCCACTCTCACATCAAGGTTTCTCTCTTTCTTCCTCCCTCTTTCCCTCTTAAAATCAATAAAAAAAATATTTTTTTAAAATTGAAAATTGTTTCAGTATACCATTTTATCATCTCCCATGATTCTATGGTTGGCTGGGCTCAGCCGGGTGGTTCTTCTGTTCCATATAATAGAGTCATCTGGCGACTCGACTGGGCTGGCACATCCAAGTTGGCTCATGCCATGACTGGTGCCTTGATGGCTGGAAAGCTGGGCTTACTGTGTATCCAGCATCTACCAGGTACTTGCTAGGGTCAAGGCGAACCATTCAAGCAAAAGGGATATTTCCTGGGCTCTCTGAAGATTCTGCAGCTCCCCACTGGGCTCTAAGCTCCTAAGAGCAGGCCCTCACTTGACCTGCCCTCAAACCCTGAGTTTGGCACACAGCTCAACAACTATTTGCTGAATGATTGATTGAATGGATCAGTGCTGTGTAAGCATCTTTGAAGGCACCTGAGAAGCACAGTTATGTTTGTAAATGAGGAAACCCCCCAGGTTGCTGGTGGAGGTTGGAGAATAAGCAGACAGTGGAGGCTGGGATGCCGATGAAAAGGCTGTCCAGGGAAGAGATGGGAGACCCAGACCAGGGACTGGCAGTGGGCCAGGGATGGAGGTGGGTTTAACAGACAGGGGGAGGCAGACCTGTCTACCGTTGGTGGCAGTGAATGCTGGGGGGAGGGGGAGAGGATCCAGGGGCACCCCTGGGCCTCTGCTTTGGAAGAAGGAACAAGGAGCATTCGGGTGGTGATGGAGAGCCCCAAGGGAAGGAGTCTTGTTGGTCGGGGCCTCCCTGCCCACCGGGCAGAGATTGTGTGGCACAGAGCCGATCTGAGGCACCGGGCTGTGGGGCTGGGTGCTTGGGGGCGGCTGCTGTCGAAGGAGTGAGCATCCCCATGTTGTCAGCTTCCGCCCACAACCTGCAGGTCTTCCTGTTTCAACACGGGTTTCTCTTTCCTGCCAAAAGGGCCCCCAGGCCTCAGCCAGTGTCAGAGCAACAGCAAGCGACTCGCCTTGTGTCCCGTGAGTGCTGGGCACAGACACAGTGGGGAGAGCAGGGGGCTAGAAGCCCTCAGACCTCGATTACAAATGCCATCAGCTGCTAGGGGGCCTGGCCAGCAGCAAGGAAACACACAGGTAGTTTCGTGTTCACTTTGTTGCCCTGATAAAGCGGCCGTTGGCATTGGCCCAGCTGCCCATCAAAGCTGTCCCTCTTTCTGCGCCTCTGTTCGTAGCCTGTCAGTGGGTATCTTCACGCTGCTGGCTTCAGGCTTGCAAGGCGGCTGCTGCGGCTCCAGACCTCACATCCGTATTCAAGGCAGGAAAGAGGCCAGCACAAAGGGCATTTTTTTTTTTTTTTTATGGGAGAAAACAAAAACATCCCCAGATGCCAGCTCTCCAGCTGATTTTCATTCACGTCTTGTTGGCCAGAGCTGTGGTCTCGGAACCCCAGCCGCAGAGCAGGCTGGGAAAACAAGTGCTTTTGTCAGGGGTTAGACACATCGCTGCTCTGCACAAATCCAGGATTCTGTGGCGAGGAGGGTGGGTGCCGTGGCAGAGAGCGGAAATCAGAGTGTCTTCACAAGCTGAGCTCTAATTCCTCCGCCCTCCCTCCTGTGCATCCACCGCCTTCTCTGCAGAAAAAGAGCTGCTGGTCCCGACCTCAGAAGGCGGGGAGGAGGGTTACGTGAGAGAGAGAGGTCCCGGTGAGACGCACAGGGGTGAATTTCTCTACGGCCGCTATTGGAATAAAGCAACGATGTGTCCCCTGGGCTAGGCAGGCAGGGAAGTTCGAGGAGCCGAGGACACTATTCGAGGAAAGGGGACCAGATCCACTGTGCAAAGGCCTGGGGGGGCTGCGGCTTTTACCTTGGAAGTGTGGATGCAGGAAGAGAGAGGGAGGCAGGGTGTGGCTGGGCCCCAGGAAGAGCAGGAAGCAAAAAGGGACCACCCTCAGACTCCAGCCTTAGGACTGGGGGCTCCCCCCCCCCGCCCCGCTTTTACACATTGAAGATGGGGTGCGGGCCCTGACCCACCCCATCTGTTTGCGTCATGTGTTGGTTATACCATGGGATGTTTGTTTCCTATTTCCTACGAGAAGCAACGTTAAAAACATAAATCTGTCTGGGCTGAAAGGGACACAGGTGGGGGTTTCCCCGCCATCACTTCCTTTGGAGAGGGGGCGGCTAGGGGGAGGCAGGGGAGCGGGAGGGTCTGGCCCAGAACGTCAGGGCTTGGGGGACCGCGTGGGTGGCTGGGGCTCTGGGGAGAAGAAAATAGAAACTCAGAGCCATTCACTGGGCTGGGAATCCGGGCAGATGAGCTGTCAGGGGCGGGGTTTTCTGTCTGTTTCTATTCCTTTATGTGGGCCTCTCTGGGGTGCCAGCTAACTGGGTCAGGAGCTCGTGTGGATCCCCACTCCTGGACCTGCCCCCCCCCCCACCCCAAACCCAGAACAGCACCTGGCAGAGTGAGTGCGCGATGACTGTGCTGGATGGGGGGGGGGGGGGGGGGGGAGGTGGTGTAGATGAAGACGTGTCATCGTCCACAGGCGTGGGCAGTCTGCCATTTGTAACTTGGCAAACACAAAGGTGACCGACTCCGTACCAGGCACCGCCGCACCAGGTGGGTGAACTTCTCCATCCTTCCAGCAGTGCCTTCTCCCTCTTAAAGAAACACTCCTTTGCTGGGACTGGCACTGCCTCCTTATGCTCTTGGACGCCTTCCTGTGGCCTCCAGGCCTAGAGGCTGCGAGTTCCCAGCTGCCCGACACCATATCCCCAAATTCCCGCAGGCTCCCCCCACATCCCCCCACCCCCATCTCCATGTGGGGACCCACCCCTCCACCCTGGGGCTTTGGCCGGGGCCCAGCAGAGCCCAGCAGCTCCCTATTAAATATGACTGGTCGAAATGGGACCCAAGACCTAAGCTGGGCCAATGAGAGTAAATCTTCATTGGAACTCTGCCTAGGGCAAACATTTGCTCTTTGTTGTTGTTGTTGAACTTGAACCTGGAAGGATGAAGCGCTGAGAGTCCCCTTGCTGAGAATGAACCAGACAACCGAAGGCAAGGCAAAGGGGTACAGGGAAGTGAGCCCCGAGAACACCACCTGAGCCCCCTCGGTCACGCTGCCTCTGAAGTCATGATGTGACCAAACTGGGATCAGTGACTTTATTTCCTACGAAAGCAGGCGGAGGTGGGTTTCCCGTTTGCAATAGCGAAGGTCCTGGCGAGCAGGGTCGGAGGCAGCCCAGGACCCCGAGTGGAGCAGAGAGACGAGGGCGGCAAGAGCCAGCCACACCGGTTCGGGCTGGCTGGGCAGTGCCCACAGACCACTGGGAAATCTGGTTGTTGTCTGTGGTCCCCAAAGGAGAATTAGACCAGAGGGACACACTCCTGAGACACTCAGATGAGCGCAGCAGCAGAACTTTCCAACAAGCAAGACCATCAATACGGGAGTCAACGCCTCAGGGGGAGTGAGAGGCCCATCCCTGAGGGCACACAAGTGGTGGCAGCAACCAAAGTTTCCAAAGGAGATTCAGGGGTCTGGCGGGGCCGGGGTAAATGGGTACGGGGGTGGGGGTGGGGCATAGGAATGCAGGGGTGGCTAATGGGTCCTGGGGCTCGCCTCTGGCCCCTGGGGGGACAGGAGCACGTGGGGATGGGGACACAGCACCTACGGATTCACACCTTCGGACCCTAGGGGCCCCGAACATAGAGAAGGCGGTCAGCCACGTCTGCAGCCGCGTGCTAAGAAGCGCCACGGGGAGGGGGCAGCATGGCCAGCCGGGGTGCCATCGGGTTTGGGGTGGGGGCCCTGGAGGGTCAGAACCATCTGGCTGGGAAGACTGGGACACCTGGAAGGGAGACAGGCAGGGTGAGAATCAGGGGACAAGCAGGATCTACAGCCACTTGCAGTCTTTCTGGCTGGCAGCTCGTTCCCGCCCTCCAGCTCCTGGTCAAGGCTGTCCGCCCGCCCTGCTCTTCCTCCACACCAGGTCTGTCTTCCCTGCCCCCACCCCGCAATGTGGGGTCAGTTCTCCCTGGCTGGCCCGGGCTCCCCTGGGGGGCAGGGGCTGGGGTGCCTCTAACCCTCCTCTTTCCCCCCCGCCCCCCGGCAGGGAGGGAGAGTGGGGGCTCAGTGGCACCCATGCCTTGGCTCAGGGCCTTTTCTCATCCCTCAGGCCTTCCCGCTGGGAACCCGGCTCACTGAGCTGCCCTGGCTCAGGCAAATGGGGAAACTGAGGCCACTGCTTCTCCTCTCTGTCCTGGTCTTAACACCACCCCCAGTGAAACGGAGGGCCCCTGCCGGCTACAGCCTGCCGTGCGATGGAGGTGGGGGTGGGGGCGGGGGTCTTGAAGCAGTGTGTGTGGGGGGGGGGGGGGCTTACCCCTAGAGGATGCTGCAGGGGCGCTTCTGTGGCCGTGTGGGCTGGGGACACAGGACGGCCCGGATGGCCTCGTCAAAGACCGTTTTCAGGCCGCGCTGGGTGAGGGCCGAGCACTCCAGGTATTTCACCGAATCTGGTGAGGCAACAAGGGTGCAGAGGCCCAGGTCAGGGGAGGGTCCCAGGCAAAACCCCTCCCTCCCTCCCCCCTCCCTTCCCAGGACGGGAGTTTGAGCTGCCCCACAACCCCTCACTCCCGGCTGGGGAGGAGGCCAGTTGGGCGGAGGCAGCTGCTGCCTGGTCAGCCCTGCAGCCCCCACCCCCAAAGCCCTTGGCCTGGGCTGGTCCAAGACAAGTTGAAAGTCCCTTACACACACACACACACACACACACACACACACACACACACAACGCCAACTGGGATCTGCTCCAGGAGAGACTGGCTAGAGGCCAAGACAGGACCCCAGGTCACCTCCTTACAGGGGGGGGCTTTTAGAGACCCTGTAGGCAGCTTTGCAGGTGGGGAGACTGAGGCCCAGGGAGAGACCACCGGCTCAAGGTCACACAGTCAGTGCCAGGCCAGGAGCAGCAGTGCACTCTCAGGCCCCTTCTGGTCCCAACGCCCGTGCTTTAAAGGGGAAGGGTTCACGCAGGCGTGAGCGTCAGCCTTGGAGGAAGGGGGGCGGCCGGTCAGAAAGGAGAGAAGGGGTGCCATCCCCCATACCGGGAGGAAGAACCAGAGCCCCCGGGATGGGGCATGGGGCCCAGGGCCCCACAGAGCGGAGGTCCCCTGGGGAGGATGGCCATGCCGCTGGGCGAGTCAGGGGAGGGGGGAGGTGGCAGCTGCGGTTTCTCTTCCTGTGAAGAGATGTGGGTCCCCAGGGCCCGCCCAGTTCCGGCGGAAGGAAGAGTGGCAGGGCTGAGGCAGGGACGGGGTGGGGAGGCCCCATGATTGGGGGCCAAACGCTGGGCCTGCGGGACCCTGGGGTAAGGCAGAGCCCCCCTGGGGAGCTGGGTCACCGGTGGGCCTGGGCTTCTGGGCAAGTGTGCCCTGGGCTGCAGGTCAATCAGGACTGACTAGGGACACCATGGGCGAGGCCACCACCAGGAGGCCCCTAAGCCAGCAACTTCCTGTCCGGTGTTCAAATCCCAGTTCTGCCACCTCCTAGCCGTGTGGCCTTTAAAACGCCACTTCACTTCTCTGGGCAGTGATCTGGAGGCAGAGAGGAGGTGGGCGGGGGAGGGAGGCGAGGAGGCAGACGGGAAAGCCTCCCCCTGCAAACCCAAGGCAGAAGCACCTCCTCCGGGAAGCCTTCCTGGAAAACCCAGGCCTGGCTTGGCTGCTGGTGCTCTCAGCAGCCACAGCACACCCCACTCCATCCCTGCTTCTCTCTGGGCAAAACACACTTTATTTCAAGATCCAATTATGGTTTATACTAATGACTAGAAATTCGTGCACGGTGGGGGTCTCTAGGCTTGGCCAGCAGTCAGGGCCTTCTGGCTGCTGGCCGAGGCCTCCCTTCCCCAGCTCCTGGCTGCGGGGGGGGGGGGGGGGGCCTTCTTTCGTTCCACACCGCCCCCTGGTGGTCAGCGCCCATCATAGTGAGCAATAGTCTCCCAGCCAAACTCCCATGGAAACCAATTGCATATTAGACTTTTACATCTATAGATAGTTAACAATCAGATTCCCCCGCACGGGTGCTGGGAGCCAGTCCATGTTAGTTATTAGCAGGTGCCTTGAGTATTAATTTGTTTAATTCTCCCAGAAATAGTTCTACGGCCAGGTTTTGCTGATGAGGAAACAGGCACAGAGAGGCTAAGCGATTGGTCCAGGGTCACACAGCCAGCACATGCACACTCCGGTCCTGGAGCCACGCCTGCAGTCACCAGAGGCTGCACCCAGGTCCCCGCTCTGAGCCCGGGCCCCGTACCGATCTCCTTGGCCAGCGCCAGGCCCTGCGGGTAGGTGATGGGCGCCAGCTTCTTCTCCTTGAGCTTCTCGATGGTGTCCTTGTCGTCCCGCAGGTCCAGCTTGGTGCCCACCAGGATGATGGGCGTGCTGGGGCAGTGGTGCCGCACCTCGGGGAACCACTGGGCCGGTGTGGGGACAGGGGGGCGTGAGACCAAGGGGAGGGGGCCGAGATGGTGTGGGAATCAGGGGGAGCACGAGAGCCGGGGAGAGAGGGCCACCACGTTGTGGGAAGATAAGAGGCGGCAGGAGTTTGTGAGAAGAGACACAAGGTTGCACCGGGGAGGGGGCACGCGGTTGCAGGAAAGAGGAGGTGTGATTTGTGCGGAGATAAGACAGGCATGAGGTTGTGCGGGGTGGAGGGGGGCGGGGGGAGAAGACAAGTGAGAGAGGGTGGACAATAAAGCTGGCCCTCCCAGCCCCCTCTGCGACCCCCTCCGAGTCTCATCCCGAGTCTCCCCACACCAGTGGGCACTGCCCCAGGGACAGGCGTCAAGGTGCTGGGCCCTCCTCCCTCCCTCCTCCCCTCAGTGCCCCCCCACTGGCCTGCTCCGCTCAGCTCACCTTGGCACGGACGTTCTCATAGGAGGCTGGGCTGACGAGGGAGAAGCAGATGAGGAAGACATCCTAGGGACAGAGCAGGCCAGGGCACTGTGAGGGGAGGCCCGGGGGGGCCTACCTGCAGCCCCTCCATACACTGGAGCCCTGAGCTGTGCAGCAGCCCAGTGTAACAAGGGGGGTGGGGGTGGGGGCTGTAAGGTCCAGCCTGCTGCCTGTTTATCCGATACTTCCCAGTGTCCTTAGAGGCCCTTCCTCACACAGACCCGGCAGCAGGACTGCCGCCCCCATTCCGCAGATGGGAAGAGTGAGGCTGCAAAGGTTGGCGGGTTTGCCACCCGGAGCTCCAGAATCCTCACTCCTAACCAGGCACTCACTACCCACCATCCGCTTACCAGCCTGGAGGGAAGGTCAAGGGTGGAGGGGTGGGATGTGGTGGTTGCCCAGCAACCACAGAGCCACCGGCAGGCTTACCGGTCTCTTCTCCCCCCACCCTGCACACCCAGGGTTCACTGTCCCAGGCTCCCTACTGGAGCCCCATGCTGGGTCTGTTTGCCCCACCCGCAGGGGGCGGTGGCTCCAGAGACCCTGGTGGAGGGGGAGGGATGGGAAGAGGGCAGAACGGTGAGAGGGGCTGATGGAGGGCCAGGGGCAGAAGGAGTCCCTGGTTGTGTCTGGGGAGGACAAGGCAGAGTCCTCTGGCTGGGCCTTTGGGGAGGGTCAGGGTTCACCCACGGGCACCCACACAGAGGGAGCAGAGCCAGCCGGCGAGAAAGGCTCAGGGGGCTCACCGTCTGCGGGTAGGAGAGCGGCCGGAGGCGGTCATAGTCCTCCTGCCCGGCCGTGTCCCACAGGCCCAGGTTCACCGGCTTGCTGTCCACCATCACGTTGGCTGAGTAGTTGTCAAACCTGTGGGGAGCGGGCCAGAGGGTCAGCCTCCCGCCCCGAGCCCAGGGCCCTCCAGTCCAGGCCCAGGCTGCCGGAAGCTGAGACCCAGCGAGGTCCTACAAGGACCCACGTCACACAGCACGATGCAATTCAGTGGGGTTTTTTTCTTCCCATTACTGATTCACAACATAACAAACCAAAAACTCAGATAAGCCCTAACCCGTTTGGCTCAGTGGATAGAGTGTCGGCCTGCAGACTGAAGAATCCAAGGTTCGATTCCGGTCAAGGGCATACACACTGGTTGCGGGCACATCCCAATAGGGGGTGTGCAGGAGGCAGCTAGTCAATGTTTTTCTCTCATCGACGTTTCTGGCTCTCTATCCCTTTCCCTTCCTCTCTGTGAAAGAAATCAATAGAATATATATTTTAAAGAAAAACCCAGGTAAGCATAAAGAGGGAAGCAGTATCTTGGTCATTGTCCTGCCCTCGCCTGTTCTCCGGAGAGGTGGTTTTCCAAGGCTGCGTACTATTCCCTCCAAGGTTTGATCGGAACACACTCACCCACCTCCTATGCTGGACATTAGGGCTGGCCTCCCGGCATTTGCCAAACAAGTGCTTATCCCCGTCTGAGGTGGGTCTCCCCAGAAGCAAACCCTGGGGAGGGGGGTGGTACAAGTGGTTTATTTGGGAAGTGAGTCCAGGAGCTGCAGGAGGCCGGTGGGGAGGAGAGGGAGGCAGCAGCAGACACAGGGTGAGCCGGTGAGAGGTGACTGCTGTGGGCGCGTGGGGCTCCGGCCAGCCAGAGCCACCAGGAGACAGCCTGGGCCATGGCAGGGCGCCCCCGCCCCGAGAGGGCAGGAGCTGGGGTACTGCCACCATCTCCATCTGCCACTTTTAGAGGGATGTTCTGGGGTATCAATCCCCTTGTCATCCAACCCACCTGAGGGCACAATGAAAGCTATCAGTCACAGGAGATTTGGGGAAATGCCACTGGCACATGCTGGAAAGACAATGCCAAAGCCTGGCATGGGCACCAACCATGAACCCTAAAACCTCCCTGCCAGTTCCAGTGAGGCCTCCGGTCAATCTAACAAGCTGACAGATTTTAAGCAACAACAACAACAACAACAACAACAATTCAATGGTATTTTTCACTACACACACCCTGAGAAGAAGGTGCTGGTTCCTTATGCCTTGGGATGTCACCTCCTCCATGCAGCCCTCATGGAATGCTGCTCAGTGACAGGCTGCAGAGCAACTCCCAAGACACCTGTCCTGAGAAAGACCCCACAAACAAACAAACAAACAAACAAGGGGACAGCCTAAGTTTTTTTAAAATCCTCACCCGAGGATATGTCTATTGACTTTGAGAGAGAAAAAAACACACACACACATCGATGTGAGAGACAAACATTGACCAGTTGCTTCCTATATGGATTGAGCTCACAATCTAGGTATGTGCCCCGATGGGGACTAGAACCCACAACCTTTTGGCATAGGGGACGACGCCCAACCCACTGAGCCATCCAGCAAGGGCTACAGCCTGGCACTGTAACACACTGTACTCAAGGGAGTGTTCCTGGTTACCTCTCAGCTCCTCAAATGGCCCTGCTCCCTCCTGCCTAGAAAGCTCCTGCAAACCCCACTCTCCTTCCTCCCTCTGCTGGGCTGGCTCTTACCCCACCTCTCCTCCAGCTTATCGCAATGCCACCTCCTCCAGGAAGCCTTCCTGACTCCCAGCCAGGTTGGGTCCTAACCAGCAATCTGTGGTGCACTTAGCACCCCAAAAGCAGGAGCTTGTCCCTCACTGCGCCCTGAGGCCAGCCCCGTGCTTGGCAAGTGGTAGGTACCTACTCCGGGCACCACCCATACCACTGTGATTTCAAGTCTAAGGAGACACCACTGGGCATGACGGGAAAAGAAGTGTCTGTGTTGTCTTTGGCTTCTTTCAGGATAAGCTTGGGGCTCTCCCTTCTCTGATGTCCAGAATGAAACTCTGGTGCCCAAAAGCCTCCCCAACTTCCTGAGCCAAAGGTGTCTGCATTCTCTGGGTCACCCCCAGGGTCTCACCCCAGGGGACTTGGGGGCGGGGGAGGCTGCATCCTAGGATCTGTAGCAACACCGAGCACCTCCTCTGGGGCCGGGCAGAGGGCTAGGGCCTTCATACCAGAGGTCTTGAAGTCCCAAGACTGAAGGACCTCAAGTTACTCCCAGTAGACAGATGAGGAAACCAAGGCCCCAAGACTAGCCAGCTCATAAACAAGGATCTGAACCCTGCTTTTCCCATGACCCCCACCAGTGAACCTGGGGCCAGCCGTCTGGGATCGGTCACCCAGAACTGGGAGGGAACAGAGACCTCCTGGTAAAGTCTTATCGGGGCTGTGTGACCCTGGGTGAGTAACCTGACTTCTCTGAGCCTCACTGTCTTCATTGTGGAAAAGCTCTATCTGTTGGGACAGAGGACATTGAAGCCACCCCGCAGGGAGCTGCTGAGCCGCTGAGTGACCGCTGAGTGTCCAGTGTCCCTGCACACGCTCCACTGCCCTCCGCAGAGAACCAGCTGTCAGGGCCCGGGTGTCTGCGGGGACTCCCCAGGCATCTGCAGCTCCCGGGGGTCCCCCTTACTTCAGAGACTCACAGGCGGCCTCTGTGTCCAGCCCTCGCTCTCATGGCCAGAGGAGGACACGGGCTCAGAGGCAGGAAGGGGTTTGCCCAAGACCTCACAGCTGGTGCAGAGCCAGGACTGGATCTGTTACCCAATTCAGAGCCGTGTGGTAAGGTGAGCGGCGCTGCCACTTCAGGGCTGGGGACTTGTGGAGTTTGAGCCGGGGCCGGGGACTGACTGGGACCTCGGGGGAGGGCAGGGAGCGCCCATTGGCTGAGCACCCTGGAGCCACAAGGGCTGCCCAGGCCCCTCCTTCCTAAATCATTTCAGTGGACCCGCCCTTGTCCCCATTTTACACACGAGGAAACAGAATCGGGGCCTGGGAGTGACCTGCCCATGGTCACACAGCTGGGATGTTTGCACTCAGAGTCTGGGCCGCCTCTTTCCACACTCGCCAGCCCTGCCCCGGGGGCCTGGGGTGGAGGAGGAAGACGGAGGCGGGTGAGAGGCGTGTCTGAGGCCCAGCACCTTCTCAGGGCAGACTGCAGCTGGACCTGCCTGCCGTGCTCAGCTCTGTTCCAGCAGCTGGTGGGACGGACAGATGGACGAGGACAGGGCCCTGACCTCCCAGTGCTTCCATCCTAGCAGGGAAGTTCAGGGACAGGAGGGGAGGGGGGAACCAGCTATGAAGGATGTCAAGCAGGGTGGTGGGATGGAGGGGGCCCGGGTGGAGGGAGGGACCACCTGGAGGACAGGGTCCTGGGTGGTGATCCCTGGGCCAGGAACTGTATGGTGGGGAGGGGGGAGCCCCTGTGCCGCAGGTCTTCCTGCCCTGTCTTTGCACCCCGACATCGAGAGAGGTTTGGTCTCTTTGTCCGTGAAGTGGGGGTCTGAGCCTGACTGCTCACCCCCAGCTGCTGGGAGCAAGCTGAACGGGGCTCTCGCTCACCCCCCTTGCCCACCCCGGAAGCTCTTCTGACCTCCATCCCGCTGCCTGTCTCCCCAGCCCCGCCCCCCAGCTGCCCTGCCCTTCATTGTCAGGGCTCAGTACAACCTACTGGCCACCCTGCTGCAGGGGTGCAGGCGTGGCCGCAGGAGCCTCCTGGGGCCTCTGAGCTGAGCCCCTCTGTAAGGGGGGTGGCAGGCGGGACTGGCCACACACCACAGGTTCCGGTGCAAAATGAGAACACAGGACCCCTTGTTCAAAAATTAAGAATTCCAGGATGAGGGGATGTGATTAAACCCAATGCGGCCCCTTCCCTGCGAAGCCCCCGCAGCTGCAGGGACGTGGCCTGGTGAAGCCGCCCTGGTCTCCCACCAGCTCCTCAGCCCCCGCGGGCAGACCTCGTCCAGGCCGTTCTGGCCGCTCTGCAAGGTTGCCCCGGCCGAGCCAGTCCACCAGGGGCCAGTCCCTCCGAGCTGCTGAGAGCACCTGCCCCCGAGAACACACCTCCGTCTCCCTGGACAGCGGAGGCTGCCGGCCACGAGCTTGGGATCTCGCAGCCCCCACCTCCTCCAGAAAGGGAAACTGAGGCTCAGAGAGAGGGTGTGACAGGCCGAGGCAGGAACAAGGCCTCCTGCAGCAGCTGCCTCCCCCTGACGGATGGCTGCTTCCCGGCTCCGCTCCAGAGCCAGCCCTCCCTCCGCTGGGAGGTGCCGGTCACCGTTTGGTAATTGATGGTGACCTGGCAGAGTGTGGAGAGGGGAGTGCGCAGGCGCCACGCTATGGGGAGGCGGGACCAAGTGGGGAGTGGCAGGTGGGGGGGGGGGGGGTGGGGGGGTGAGGGGTGGGGCAGTTGTGGGTTTTCCAGGCTCCCTGCCCAGGTGTCCCTGCCCTGTCCTGGCTACCTGCCCCCTCCCGCCTGGGCCGGGTCAGAGTCTCAGTTGAGGGAACTTGGGGCACCCGGGAGGCTGGGGCAGGCCCCTGCGTGGCCGGAGCTTCCTCTTCCCCTTGGGTGACCCGGTATCGTAACACCCAGCTCCCAAGAGGGCCAGAGGACAGTGTGTGAGGCCAGCATACGGCAGGCCCTCAAAGATGGCAGCTGTGACCAGTCCTGCAGCCCAGCCCTACCCCATGTAGTTCAAGTCAGGTCCACTCAAAACACATCTCATGTGTCTCAGGCGAGGAGTCGGTTACACAGAGCACAGACACTGCGGGGCTGGCCTGAAAGGCCCTGGACTGGGGGCCCTGATTCCACAGGCTCATGGTCAAGGTCAGATAGCATCATTCTGGGGAGTGAGAGACCCTGCAGGCTAGATCAGGAAGGCTTCCTGGAGGAGGGGGCCCTAGAGCTGAGGCTGGCGGGCGGAGCGTGTGGACGTGGGAAGGACCGGTACCCCGGGCGGAGGGAACAGCTGAGCAAAGGTCCCGAGGGGCAGTGGGAATGCCCAGGAGAGTGCCGTGAACGGAAGGGGCCGTGACGCTAGGCAGGAAGGATGGAAGGAGACCACACAGAGCCTCGGAGACGGAGCTGAGCGCTGGGAAGTTGTCCTGTGAGCGCTGCGGGCCGCTGGGGACAGGCAGGGGAGGGGCTGGTGCTTCCCCTCACCCTTCCTTCCTGGGGCCGGCACCCACACTTGGTCACATACATGTCAAATGACAACTCCGACTCCACACCGGACGAGAGGACGGAGAGGACGGCCTCTGATTGGCCTCCAGAGGGTACGGCCCTCCCCCACCTCACACGTGCACCCCGGCATCTCTGCTCCTTGTGACCAAACCCCCGGATCACCTCCTTCCCCGCCCTGTCCCTCTCCTCCTCTTCGTGGCCCCGGCCCCCCTTCCCTCCCTGAGCCCAGCCGGCCCTCCCCATCTCCCTCTGAAGGCCACCTGCTCCCCTTCAGCACCCCTCCCCCCAACATGATCTCTCTTGGTTTTAGGGCCCTCAGCCTTGCCCCTGACCATTCCTCTTGGCCTCAGTGGCCGCCTCCCCAGCCAGACCGTTAGGGCTTTGCCAGGCAGGCTGGCTGGGGCAGCTCCCAGTTGCTGGACCCCAAGTGCCCACCCATGGCCGCCACCAGATGAGCCTGAGCAGGGGGCGGGCTTGGCGCTGTGTCTCCCCTCCCCCCGGGGCCGCCCACAGACACTCACACGGTGGGGATGTACTCTCCGGGGAAGGCATTGGTGGTGTAGCTGATGAGGAGGCAGGTCTTGCCCACGGCTCTGAAAGACAGGAAGTTCCGGAGGGCGTCAGTCACAGGCCCTGCCTGGCCCCCCGAGCCCAGCCCGCAGGAGACACCCGGGCTCACCCTTCCAGGCCTCAGTTTCCCCATCTGAGGGTCCCCGTGTCAGTGTTCTCAAACCCGAGCACCACAGAGTCATCGGGGCCACCCCAGAGACTCGGACCCAGGGCCCGGGGCAGAGCCCGGAGCCTGCGTTTTGAGAAAGCTCTCTCTGGGGATGCTGATGGGGGACCAGGGCTAAGAGTGGAGGGTGCCCAAGACACCCCGGAACTGGACCATGCTGCAGGGGCCCCAGTGCTTGACAGGGGCCCTGCCATCACCCCTGGTCTCCCCCCCTGCCTGTGGCACCAGCTTGGGCAAGTCGGTTGATCTCTCTGTGCCTCAGTTTCCCCATCTAGAAAACAGGGATGAGTCTGTCCTCAGAGGAGTGTGCTGAAAAGGGGAACGTGCATAAAAAACCAAGCACAGTGCAGGGCTCGGCACAGCCACCAGCCGCTGGGGAAAGCCTGCCCCCCGCTATCCTGCCTCATCCACAAGCACAGCAGTTAGGAGGCTCAGCGTCAGAGAGGCCCAGGTTCAAATCCCATAAGGTCTTGGAAAAATTACTTGATTTCTTTGAGCTTCAATCCTCCCACCTGCTAACTGGGCCTACTATGAGGGTCGGTGAGAGGATAAAAGAGAGGCCTGACACAGAGTAAGCGCTAAGTAAATAGCGATGGCCCTTTATTCGTGCTGTCTTCCCAGGGCCTGCTGGGCCGAGAGGGGATGCAGGTGCAGGCCGGGCTCTCCCCGATGCCCCCAGGGCACTGTTTGTCACTTCCTGTTCTGAGGAGCTGGCTGCCTGCCCCCCGCCCGCCCCCCCCCCGCCCCCGCTCCTCTCCCCCTCCCCCTCCCCCAGGGCCTGCCAGCAAGGTAACTGAATGCCTGGAACGTCCCTTGGCTTCCGCCCTGCCCTGCCCTCCTCAGATCAGATGCAAAGCAGAAGTGGGCAGCGGGAAGATAACGAACGGCCAGCGGTGCCTCAGAATCAGCTGAGGGCAGCCTGACCCATCGGCCCGCCCTCGGCCCAGCAGAGTCAGAGTGAGCCGGGGCCAGGGGCCCAGGCCGGGAAAGGTCTGAGTCCCTCGGGGCCTCGGGCTGCCCATCTGTGGAATGGGAGAGTCGGACAAGAAGCCTGCCCTGCTGGAACGTCCCAGGATGCACCAGGGGGCTGGACCCTGAGCACGGTTGCTAGGCGCCATCTGAACCTGTCATCCCACAGCTCGGGAAGCTGGCCCACCGGAGGGCTGGCAACCCAGAAGGCACCTCGGCCCGGCCTGTCGCAAACTGACCCCTGCAGTCACCTCCCCACCCCCCTCCTCCCGGATCACCTCATGTCCCTCCTTCTGCTTCTCACCCACACCCCCCACATCCTCCCAACAGGGCAGCTGCGGGGGGGAAGGGGAGAGAGGAGGAGAGGGGAGGGGAGGGGGGGGGCTGGGGTTCACTGAGCACACACTATGTGCAGGGCAGCCCCTCAAAATGCCTGACGTGAACCCCACCAAGTCTGGGGGGAGATCCCGGACGGCTGAGCCGAGGCTCAGAGAGGCCCTGTGACTTCCCCGAGGCCACACAGCAGCGTGAGCCAGGGACTAGAGCCCAGGTCAGCCTGGGAACTGAGGCCAGATTTCCCCACCCTCCACCTGCGCCCACAGAGCTGAAGACGGAGGCCCCGCGGAGGCCTGCCCCAGCCTCCACGGCCCAGGCGAGGGCCCCGGGCCCCGGCACCCGCAGCCCCATACCCCCCACCCGGGGAGCTCCGGGGGAGGTGGACAGAGAGAGCGAGGCGTCCTCAGCCCACCCCGGGGGCTCGCTCGGGCTCCGGGGAGAAGGAACTGGTCCTCCCGGCTGCCTCCGGGGCTCCCACAGGGAAGGGGCCTCCGGGGGCACCTGTGCAGGGGGGTCTCGGGGCCCCCGGTGGGGCTGTGAGGAAGGTCAGTGGGTACCTACCCATCTCCCACCACCACACACTTGATGGCCTGCATGGCGTCGGGACTGGGGCGGCGGTGGCCGGGGCGGCTGCGGCGGCACCGGGAGCGGAGGGCCTGGTAGGCGGCCCCGCGGAGCAGCAGGGACGGACGGACGGACGGAGGCAGGAGGAAGCGGAAGGGGAACTTGCCCAAGCTGCCCTCGCAGCCGTTTGCAGAAGGCGGGGCGTGCGGTCTGGAGGAACAGCTGAGAGGGCCCCCAGGTGCTGGTCCCGGCCCCGGCCCCGGCCGCCCCCACGGCCTCCCCGCGCTGGGGCACCAGCTGGAGACCAGGGACCCTCTCAGCGGGGACTCACTTCCACGGGCAAGGCCAGGGTTGATCTCCAAGACCTGGAGGTTTCCGAGCACTGACTTCCACTCAACTCAAAGCAATGAGCACTTAACCAGCACCTGCTGCGCGCAGGCTCAGGATCGGGCGGTGGGGGACCTGCAGCGAGGGGACCTCAGAGTGACACGGAGGGGAAGCGGGAGCCCGGGAGGTGGCCTTCGAGGTGGTGTGGGAGAGAGGGCACCCTGGGGGAGGGGGTTGCCTGAGACAGACACGGAGGCTCCCCCCCAAGAGAGGCCCATGTGGGAACCCCTCAGCAGGGAAGGATGGGAGATGGGGGGGCGGTGGCGAGGAGAGTTGAGGAGGAGGGAGGTGGGGTCAGCTCAGGGAGAAGGAAATGGGAGGGAAGGGACAGGCCGGGCCCTGTGCTGGGGGCAGCCCTGTGGGACCGGGCACCTTGGAGCTAAGTCAGATCCACGGCCACTTTTAAAGGTGCAGAAGCAGAGGGTCTGAGAAGTCAGGTGCCCCCAAATTCTCCTGGCACCGCAGCTTCGGCCCGGGGACAGAAAGCCGCTGGTGGGTGGGAGCGCCCCCTCTACCCCTCCCCCCAGCACAGCAGACTAGGGTCTGAGCAGCACGGAGTCTTCCCAGTGGTTCCACCTTCACCTGGTCCTGACCACTCACTGCAGGCTCCAGGGAGAGGGGTGGGGGGAGATGGGCGGAGCAGCTGGTCCCCACCCTGGACTCGCTCTGGGCAAACAGGGAAACCACAGGCGTATGGAGCTCAGGAGTCAGCAAGGTGACTCTGGGGACAGAGCCCAGGACTCCCCAGGCACCCAGGCAGAAGCTTCCAAAATGATCCATGCAAGCTGCAGGGCTAGCACAAACGGCTTTTGCAGAAGGAGATGCAGCTTCCCTGGGCCAGCCAGAGGCCTCGGCGCAGGGACGGTCCATGCAAGGAATTGTGGGCACATGCCCTGTGGCGGGCTCCATCGCCAGTAGGGGGCGTGCAGGAGGCAGACAATGGATGTTCTGCTCTCACATGGATGTTTCTCTCTGTGTCCCTCCCCCCTCCTCTCTCTCTAAAAATCAGTTAGAATATTTTTTAAAAAAACAGCCAGTGCACTCGAAGTCTGCTCGGTGCTCCTCACAGGCTGAGCTGAGGCTTTGCCAGCAGGAAGCGTGCCAGGGCACCCGCCCAGGCCAGGAAGGCCCAGTGCCCCACATGCCCCCCTCCCCGCCCCCCGGCCATGACCCAGCCGGGCTCCCTGCCTCCCAGGCCACCGGAAGCTTTATTCTGGGGACACCCCCATATTCACATTTGTTTCCCAACCACTGCTATAGGGCAACCTCTGTGATAGTTTTAAAAAAGGGAACAGTGTACTAAATGCAATGTGCTGTCCTGGATTAAATCCTGGAACAGAAAAAACAAAACAAACAAACAAACAAATAAAAACACCCGTGGGAAAAGTAGTAAAATCCAAAACAAATAAAGATTTAATTAACAGTATGGCACTAAAACTCAAGTGAATTTCTTTTTTTTTTTTATTTAATATATTTTATTGATTTTTCACAGAGAGGAAGAGAGAGGGATCAGAGTTAGAAACATCGATGAGAGAGAATCATCGACCAGCTGCCTCTTGCACACCCCCTACTGGGGATGTGCCCACAACCAAGGTACATGCCCCCGACCGGAATCGAACCCGAGACCTTTCAGTCCGCAGGCCGACGCTCTATCCACTGAGCCAAACCGGTGCCCGCTCAAGTGAATTTCTAAGGGGTTTGTTTGTTTGATTGTTTTATATTTTTTAATCCTCACCCTGTTTGATTCCGGTCAAGGGCATTCACCTCGGTCACAGGCTCCTCTCTGGCCCAGGCCCTCGTCGTGGGCTCCTGCAGGAGGCAACCAATCGACGTGTTTCTCTCCCATCAATATTTCTCTCTGTCCTTCCCTCTCTCTTCCACTCCCTCTAAAAACCAGTGGGAAAATATCCTTGGGTGAGGATTAAAAAATAAAAGTTCGAGGTTGATAGTCAGGTCTTCACACACCTGGGATGGATTCCGGGCCAGGTGGGACGTGAACTTCTTCCATTTTGTCAGACAGGGACTCAGTGTCATCCCTTCCACGACCAAGTGTCCAGCACCGCGTCCTGAGGCCCCACTCCCCCACCCCATGAGCTGTGGGAGTCTGTTCCTAGCCGCTGTCCCTCCGTCTATCTGCCCGCTCTGTCTGCCCCGCAGCCAGCACCGCACGCTCCATTACCGAAATTCCGTGGCAGGCCCTGCCATCCCGCAGGGCTGGGTCTCTCTCTTGAACTTTTCCAGAATCGCTCGTTTCCGCTCTTCCGCATACATTTTAGGAGAAGCTCGCCAAGTTCTGAGAAGAAGCCGCGCCAGGGTGTTCTAACTGGAATTCTGTTCGACTTGCCGGGGGACCGGGGAGAATGGGCATCTTTGTAAGCTCGGCCCCCCTCCCCGGGGGCGTGCTCCGTGTCCTCGGTATGTCTTTCAATAACGTTCTGTCCTCTCCCCCGGGAAGGTCACGCACGTTTTTTCCGTCAGATGATTCCTCGATGCGGAGTCACGATCGGCGTGATGGTGACAGACGCTTTTTGAAACCGCATGTTCTGCTGGTTGCTTGCACGCAGGGGAAATGTCAAACTTTGCATAAACGGGCATAGATAGATGGCCATTCTTATCGCAGGGAGATCCTTACAGATGTGGGAATTCTCATCTGGAGCTTTTGCTGCTAACGAGCCCCAGACTGTCTCGGCAGACACAGTCTTATCATTTGTAAAAAGTGACGGTTTTATTTCCTCCTTCCCGGTTTTCACAGCGTCCGCGCCCGGGCCTGTGTGCAGCCGTGGCTGCCGCATTGGGTGGCATCAGCGAGGGGGGCACCCTGTCTTCCGTCCGACGGTGAGGGGTGCTACTGTATGCCAGCACTGGGCGTGACGTGGGCTCTGGCAGACGCTCTGGGCAGTTAGAGGAGTTTCCTGCTATTCTTAGAACCGTGTGTTTTGTTTTGATCTCCAGGGTTTAATCGTATTGCATGTTTGTTTTTCCCCCCTGGTATCCATGGAGACGTCGTGGATAACGTTACTCCGTCCTCCAATGTGCAGTGACCTTCCCCACTTAGTCACCCGGAGGACACTGCTAACTGTCGCTCGTGGTCATTCGCTTCTCCTTCGAATCGCGGAGCCCCAGGGCTCGCAGCCAGCTGAAGAGCACATCTCTGTCCCCCTTGCAGCGAGGTGCGCCCCGTGATTAAGTCTGGGAGGAGGGGGGGCGATGAGGAGAGCATAAATGGAAGGGATGTGCACAGCGCCTGAGACCATCGCCTTGAAGGCAGAGCCTTGTGCGTGCATCTTTTGTCCCTGGCCCCGGCTGACGAGGAAGTAGAAACGCTGGCGGAATCCTGATGTGTGAGGGGTGGGAGGTCAGGACCACCCACCTCAGGCTGAAGAGGGAAATGCACGTTGTCTTTAAGCCCCTGTGGCCCGGCCGCGTGGCCCCGTGGTTGAGCATCGAACTATGAACCAGGAGGTCACCATGCGATTCCCGGTCAGGGCATGTGCCCGGGTTGCTGGGCTCAGTCCCCAAGGGTGGGGCGTGCAGGAAGCAGCCGACGGATGATTCTCTCTCATCATTGATGTTTCTATCTCTCTCCCCCTCTCCCTTCCTCTCTGAAACCAATAAAAACAAACAAATAAACATAAAAAGAAGCCACTGTGTTACAGGGTCTTTCTGTTACAGCAGCTTCAAGTAACGAACGCAGCATGGTGACTGTCCCGTATACGTCGCTGGCTCCACACTGCCTCGCTGGGGACACAGTGTGAGGAGAATGTCCATCGGCCTTTCGGGACAGGAGAAGAGTATAACGTTTCATTAAGTGAATTGCAATATTATCTCTCTATTTTTAGAGACGTTTGCATAATACAGATTGATCTTTCTCTCGAACATTTTATAGCATTTGTAAAGCCATCTGGGCCTGGTTTTGAAATTATGTGGGAGGAGGAAGAGGTGAACTTTAAACTGACTCGGTGTTTCTAAAGGATATAGGACCATTTGGAATTTCTATTCCTTCTTAGTCATCCTTTCTATATTTTTTCCGGAAATACTTTGTATATTTTTCTATTTTGCTCGGGTTTTTTAATTTGTTGATATAAAGCAATTCATAGGATTTTAGTGAATTCTTTTAATCTCTCCTTTTTAATTTTTGTTACATCCCTCTTTTTCGTCCTATATTAATTATTTTTGCTTTCCAAAGTTGTTTTTAATTGCTCCCTAAATTTGCTAATTATATTAATCTTTTCAATGAACCAACTTTTGGCCCTGGTAATTGTTTCTACTACACAATTTTATTCCATCTATTTGCATGCTGTGCTCATCTTTATTATTTCCTTTTTTTCTTTGGGTTTCTTCTATTGTTCTTACTTTACTTTTGAGTTTTGAACGCTTAGTTCATGAATTTTCAGCCTTGTTTTGTTCAAATGTAAGCTCTCGAGGCTCTGAATTTTTCTCAACTCCTACTTTAACCACAATCAACTTTTTAAAAATCGTGGTAAAATATACATGACATACCATTTACCACAAACCTGCAGTTTTGATGTGCCATATTTCAAACGTTCTAAATGTTTTAAATTCGTATTATAATGTGTGTTTTTTATCAAGGAGGTATTTGAAAGCTTCTTATTGCTTTTCGTTGTTGGGAAATAGGATTGGCATCTTTTTGCTCTTGTTTTTTTTGGTTTTTTTTGGTGTTTTTTTAATGGAAGGTGGTAAAAGAACTTGACGTGAGTCTTTTAAATTTGCCGAGATTTGCTTCATGTCTGACCTAGAATGG